AGCAGGAGTGGGTGGGGGTGGGGACGACAGGGCGTGGAACATGGCGCGGGGGCAGCAGTCGGACCATCTCGCTATGGCCTCAGCCTACAATGGCTGGGTGCTTGCTCTCCAGGTGCGTCTGGTGGTTCTCCGAGTGGGTTTCTTTTGAGTCCAGCTCAGCAGGAGTGGGTGGGGGTGGGGACGACAGGGCGTGGAACATGGCGCGGGGGCAGCAGTCGGACCATCTCGCTATGGCCTCAGCCTACAATGGCTGGGTGCTTGCTCTCCAGGTGCGTCTGGTGGTTCTCCGAGTGGGTTTCTTTTGAGTCCAGCTCAGCAGGAGTGGGTGGGGGTGGGGACGACAGGGCGTGGAACATGGCGCGGGGGCAGCAGTCGGACCATCTCGCTATGGCCTCAGCCTACAATGGCTGGGTGCTTGCTCTCCAGGTGCGTCTGGTGGTTCTCCGAGTGGGTTTCTTTTGAGTCCAGCTCAGCAGGAGTGGGTGGGGGTGGGGACGACAGGGCGTGGAACATGGCGCGGGGGCAGCAGTCGGACCATCTCGCTATGGCCTCAGCCTACAATGGCTGGGTGCTTGCTCTCCAGGTGCGTCTGGTGGTTCTCCGAGTGGGTTTCTTTTGAGTCCAGCTCAGCAGGAGTGGGTGGGGGTGGGGACGACAGGGCGTGGAACATGGCGCGGGGGCAGCAGTCGGACCATCTCGCTATGGCCTCAGCCTACAATGGCTGGGTGCTTGCTCTCCAGGTGCGTCTGGTGGTTCTCCGAGTGGGTTTCTTTTGAGTCCAGCTCAGCAGGAGTGGGTGGGGGTGGGGACGACAGGGCGTGGAACATGGCGCGGGGGCAGCAGTCGGACCATCTCGCTATGGCCTCAGCCTACAATGGCTGGGTGCTTGCTCTCCAGGTGCGTCTGGTGGTTCTCCGAGTGGGTTTCTTTTGAGTCCAGCTCAGCAGGAGTGGGTGGGGGTGGGGACGACAGGGCGTGGAACATGGCGCGGGGGCAGCAGTCGGACCATCTCGCTATGGCCTCAGCCTACAATGGCTGGGTGCTTGCTCTCCAGGTGCGTCTGGTGGTTCTCCGAGTGGGTTTCTTTTGAGTCCAGCTCAGCAGGAGTGGGTGGGGGTGGGGACGACAGGGCGTGGAACATGGCGCGGGGGCAGCAGTCGGACCATCTCGCTATGGCCTCAGCCTACAATGGCTGGGTGCTTGCTCTCCAGGTGCGTCTGGTGGTTCTCCGAGTGGGTTTCTTTTGAGTCCAGCTCAGCAGGAGTGGGTGGGGGTGGGGACGACAGGGCGTGGAACATGGCGCGGGGGCAGCAGTCGGACCATCTCGCTATGGCCTCAGCCTACAATGGCTGGGTGCTTGCTCTCCAGGTGCGTCTGGTGGTTCTCCGAGTGGGTTTCTTTTGAGTCCAGCTCAGCAGGAGTGGGTGGGGGTGGGGACGACAGGGCGTGGAACATGGCGCGGGGGCAGCAGTCGGACCATCTCGCTATGGCCTCAGCCTACAATGGCTGGGTGCTTGCTCTCCAGGTGCGTCTGGTGGTTCTCCGAGTGGGTTTCTTTTGAGTCCAGCTCAGCAGGAGTGGGTGGGGGTGGGGACGACAGGGCGTGGAACATGGCACGGGGGCAGCAGTCGGACCATCTCGCTATGGCCTCAGCCTACAATGGCTGGGTGCTTGCTCTCCAGGTGCGTCTGGTGGTTCTCCGAGTGGGTTTCTTTTGAGTCCAGCTCAGCAGGAGTGGGTGGGGGTGGGGACGACAGGGCGTGGAACATGGCGCGGGGGCAGCAGTCGGACCATCTCGCTATGGCCTCAGCCTACAATGGCTGGGTGCTTGCTCTCCAGGTGCGTCTGGTGGTTCTCCGAGTGGGTTTCTTTTGAGTCCAGCTCAGCAGGAGTGGGTGGGGGTGGGGACGACAGGGCGTGGAACATGGCGCGGGGGCAGCAGTCGGACCATCTCGCTATGGCCTCAGCCTACAATGGCTGGGTGCTTGCTCTCCAGGTGCGTCTGGTGGTTCTCCGAGTGGGTTTCTTTTGAGTCCAGCTCAGCAGGAGTGGGTGGGGGTGGGGACGACAGGGCGTGGAACATGGCGCGGGGGCAGCAGTCGGACCATCTCGCTATGGCCTCAGCCTACAATGGCTGGGTGCTTGCTCTCCAGGTGCGTCTGGTGGTTCTCCGAGTGGGTTTCTTTTGAGTCCAGCTCAGCAGGAGTGGGTGGGGGTGGGGACGACAGGGCGTGGAACATGGCGCGGGGGCAGCAGTCGGACCATCTCGCTATGGCCTCAGCCTACAATGGCTGGGTGCTTGCTCTCCAGGTGCGTCTGGTGGTTCTCCGAGTGGGTTTCTTTTGAGTCCAGCTCAGCAGGAGTGGGTGGGGGTGGGGACGACAGGGCGTGGAACATGGCGCGGGGGCAGCAGTCGGACCATCTCGCTATGGCCTCAGCCTACAATGGCTGGGTGCTTGCTCTCCAGGTGCGTCTGGTGGTTCTCCGAGTGGGTTTCTTTTGAGTCCAGCTCAGCAGGAGTGGGTGGGGGTGGGGACGACAGGGCGTGGAACATGGCGCGGGGGCAGCAGTCGGACCATCTCGCTATGGCCTCAGCCTACAATGGCTGGGTGCTTGCTCTCCAGGTGCGTCTGGTGGTTCTCCGAGTGGGTTTCTTTTGAGTCCAGCTCAGCAGGAGTGGGTGGGGGTGGGGACGACAGGGCGTGGAACATGGCGCGGGGGCAGCAGTCGGACCATCTCGCTATGGCCTCAGCCTACAATGGCTGGGTGCTTGCTCTCCAGGTGCGTCTGGTGGTTCTCCGAGTGGGTTTCTTTTGAGTCCAGCTCAGCAGGAGTGGGTGGGGGTGGGGACGACAGGGCGTGGAACATGGCGCGGGGGCAGCAGTCGGACCATCTCGCTATGGCCTCAGCCTACAATGGCTGGGTGCTTGCTCTCCAGGTGCGTCTGGTGGTTCTCCGAGTGGGTTTCTTTTGAGTCCAGCTCAGCAGGAGTGGGTGGGGGTGGGGACGACAGGGCGTGGAACATGGCGCGGGGGCAGCAGTCGGACCATCTCGCTATGGCCTCAGCCTACAATGGCTGGGTGCTTGCTCTCCAGGTGCGTCTGGTGGTTCTCCGAGTGGGTTTCTTTTGAGTCCAGCTCAGCAGGAGTGGGTGGGGGTGGGGACGACAGGGCGTGGAACATGGCGCGGGGGCAGCAGTCGGACCATCTCGCTATGGCCTCAGCCTACAATGGCTGGGTGCTTGCTCTCCAGGTGCGTCTGGTGGTTCTCCGAGTGGGTTTCTTTTGAGTCCAGCTCAGCAGGAGTGGGTGGGGGTGGGGACGACAGGGCGTGGAACATGGCGCGGGGGCAGCAGTCGGACCATCTCGCTATGGCCTCAGCCTACAATGGCTGGGTGCTTGCTCTCCAGGTGCGTCTGGTGGTTCTCCGAGTGGGTTTCTTTTGAGTCCAGCTCAGCAGGAGTGGGTGGGGGTGGGGACGACAGGGCGTGGAACATGGCGCGGGGGCAGCAGTCGGACCATCTCACTATGGCCTCAGCATTCAATGGCTGGGTACCCCTTCTCGTTTTATAAAAATAGAACTTTGGTTTAAACGACCAGGCACAGCATCACACTTAACCCCTAATGAAGGCACAGCCCAACTATCCAGGTGGGTGGTGGTTCCTGAGTCGCCTCAAAGTCGTCTCATGCCACGCAGCCTTGAGACCAACATGGCACGGGGGCAGGAATCCAACCATCTCGCAATGGCCTCGGCGTTCAACGGCAGGGCGCTGGCACACCAGGTGGGTGGAATCTGCGCTCCACCGCACTTGGTGCTCAAGTTTTCAATCTGACGTTCAAGGCCTAATGGACACCAACCAACCGAGTCGAGACAGCCTGCTCTGGTTCGCGTCACCTCTGGCTACATCAGGAGTGGGATATGAGTGTTGGACCGGAATTGCTTCCTCACTGCCACACGTCGCCCCACAGGCCACATCCTCTAAGTGTCTTGTTTCTGTAAGGTATTGAGCCGTGCCTTGTGAAGAAGGGGTGAAAGACCGTGCCTTGTGGGGCGACATGTGGCAGTGGAAAAGCGTTTCCAGCCCAAGACTCAAATCCCAAACCTGACGTAGCCAGAGCTGACGTGAACCAGAGCCGGCCGGCTCGACTTTGTCGGTCGGTGTCAAGCCTTGAACGTCAGATCGGGAACTTGAGCACCGTGTGCCGTGCCGTGCACATTTCAGGTGGGTCTTCAGGTGGGTGTGCAAGTTCTTCAGGTGGATCTGATTGTCTTGATAAAGGGACATTCTTTACATTCCAACTTAATTCAATGGAGTTAGTAACAGAGCATGAGAGAGAATAATGGGGCGTCTGAGTTTCGAGTCGACTCAAAACACACTCCTATGTTCCTGTTTGATCAGATGGAGTTTGTAAGAGGGCGCGGGAGAGAATGAGAGAGCGTCAAAGAGTGTGAAAGAACATCAGCTTAACAAGTAGATGGTTGTTCTGCCAGACTCGCTTATCCCTCACTGATCTTCCCTCTCCTTCGTTCGTCTCTCTCTCCTCCTCCCGACCCCACTCTCTCTCATGTTTGTGTCGTCGTCACTCGTGTTTTTGAGGCGCCTCAAAAATCGACCCCACTCTCTCTCATGTTTGTGTCCGATGGAGCATCAGAGGGGCAGCAGGGCAGCGAGGGAGTTTTGTCAGAAGCATCACCTCAGCATTCCTGCTCTGCTAATGCTGCGGTGTGTGCTCCTCGCTCTTGGATCTGGACGACCCACTTGCATCTTGCTTCCTTCCATAATCATCATCTGTTGATCGACTTACAACTTAACCCCCCTTCTCATCCTTTCTTCGGCTCCTCATCCTCGCTCTTGCATCTGGACTGCCCCCTTGCATCCCTCATCCTTCCATAATCGTCATCTGTTGATCGACTTACAACTTAACCCCCCTTCTCATCCTTTCTTCGGCTTCTCAAAAATCCGCTCCTTATTCTCCCATCTGGCCCCCACACCCAGCGACATGAGGGTGCAGTTTGCTCGCCTGCTAATGGACATCGGCTTTCTAAGGCAGCCCAGCAAGCCTCCAGGCGCTACTGGAGTCCCCGCGAGCAGGGTGAGACTCGTTGCTGATTACTCCTGTGCCTTGTTCCCCTCCAATCCGTTCATGGCTTGTCGTTACCCTCATTCATCTGTACCTTTCACCCTACCATTCTCCCATTCGCGTTTGCCATTCTCCATTTCCTTGGTTGCCTTTCCTCCCTGATGCCACGTGCAGGGTTTTAATTGGCTGGATGAGTCCACCCAGCCTTGGAACCAATGCTCTATGAGTGCTCCTGCTGTGAAGGTGAGTGACACAAGTCAAGGGTTGAAACAGATGATCATCCCCATAAAGAGAGCAGATGCAAGTTGGTCACTTTCGTACCTTTCATCTCTCACTGCTCGTCCCTTTTCTTGTCCTCTCTACGGCTTCTCTTGTGTCAGTCTGTTTGCTGAGCTTGTCGTCCATCCCCTTGTGCCCCTTGTGCCTATGATGGCTAGCCAGTCTGGCAGTTATGATTGGCAATGATGGCATGCACGTCTCTACAATGAATCTCCACTCACACTTCCTTTCTGTCAATCTTAGACCTTCTCTTCCTCTCCTTTCTCCACCTACCCCTCCTCCTTCAACGAACCACCCCTCTCCCTTCCCCCTTCCCCCTCTCTTCCAAATCCCCAGGCTGTTCTTTGTGCAGGTCTCTACCCCAACGTTGCAATGATGGCACGTGACTCTATTGAAGCCGCGCACTGTTCACACGCGTCAGACCTCGCACACGTGGCCGGGGCGTCCGGGCGGCCGCGGTGGGTCACTGCAACAGGGGCTGAGGTGGCCATTCACCCTTCTTCGGTCAACGAAGCTGTCTCGGTCTTCCGTGCTCCCTTCCTCGTCTTTCATGAAAAGGTACAGTGCGAGGAACTTTTTTTCCACTTTTTATTCCAGCCATATGGCAAGTTTAATCACTGTTCTAATAATTCATTGTGCTTGCAGGTCAAGACATCTCGAGTGTACATTCGCGACTGCACCGTTGTGTCTCCAGCAGCCATCCTTCTTTTTGGCGGACCAATCACAATCCACCATCAGGTAGTGTGCACTTCCCACACCACTCAGGTCGTATCCCTGGCAAGTGTCAAGAAGTGATTGGTGTCAAGCGTTATTAACGGTTGACACCAAGTGGAGCCGCGTGTGAGCGCGGCTCCAGCCTGGTGTCAATGTTGGGCACATTGGGCGATTTCCCGCGATCACATTGGTCGGTTTAGCTGACACCAGGAGGACTAGTCCTCTCTGTCCTTTCCGAGTTGGTGTCATGACACTAACCATTCTTGACACTTGCCAAGGATACGACCTCAACCTTTACCGTTCTCATTGTGACATGCTACAGTGTTGTTTTCCATGTACTGTAGATATCTCACTCATCTCACCTGATATGCTGGTTTTCTACTCTCTGGTTTCCTGGCTGAGCTCGAGCAGAGAGGGCGAGTGTCAGTGGATGGTTGGTTGGACCTTGTGGCTCCGGCTCAGACAGCTGTTCTTTTCAAGGCGATTCGAGGGTCATTCGACACTATACTTCGCCGACATATCCTTCAGTCGCAGGTGAGTGTGGCTAGATAACACCATGAGGGTGGGCTTATTCTAATTACACACCTCTCAGTTGCTTTTTATTTCATGATTCCTCTGACAATCAACACTGCATGCAAGATTAGGATTTCATATTTTAATGGCACCATTTTTGTCCTGTGCGGCATGTGTTGACAGAATGTTGAAGATGCAGATGATTCAAGCCAAGTGATATCTACTGTTGTCAAAATTCTTGCAGATGCTGAATACTTGCAAGGATAGAAAAGGCCAAATTGGTCGACACATCTTGTACTGTACTCAAATTCTTGTAAGGTGTTGAAAGTGCAGTTTACAAGAACAAGGTTAGCTGACTCGAAACGCATCGGCGTTTATGTAGGCCAGCGGGCCCACCCCTTCCCCGAACGAAAGACCGAACAATTCTACCAACTGCATCCCTTAGGACAGCTCTCACATTTTTCTTGGTCCTCACGGATCACCAGCACTTGAGTTTCACTTCCAGCCATCAATCTTGGTTTCGCCGCCGAATGTCCTACCTGGTCGTCGTTCCAGCATTTCAGACTGCAGTATGAAAGCGACGGAAATCCTTGTCTATGTAGCTCCCAGATTAACAATTCGTCGTGGCAATGCGGCCCTTGTCAGTGGCGAAACGACAACTCTTCGTCCTATTCCTGACCGTCTTTTTGCTTGGCTATACGACCAGCACCGCTGCAATTCAGAAATGTCACTCCCTCTCGCTACGCCAGTTGAATGCCGATAGAAATTGGAGGCAAAAAATACTACGCATTGCACTCCTTGAGACGAGTCGCAATGGCAACACCAGCGTGAGTGTCGGAAATGAGAAACATGGAGTTGCGTTTCTGCTCGTCGACCCTAATATGAGTTCCATGACGATGTTCATCTCCGACCTGCCTTCTAAACTGTAAGAATTTGGCCCAATCTGTTTTACGAGATGCCGTGCAGTCTTGATTTCTTATCATCTGCTGTTCAAATCCCAGCGTTCCAGGTCCCGCCATTATTCAGGGCGAAGAAGGTGAAGCTATTGTATCTTACCTTATAAACAACACTTTCGTGGCGTCAAATCCAACGGGCCTTGCATTTGCTGGAGTCGTTCCTCTAAGCATTGCGAGCATTGAAGCTCTTCAAGCCAATCCGACAAGTAATTACATTGCCTGATTGTGCAATTCAGTTCTACAGGGAGGACTACTAATATTCACCGAATCTGCTCTTGCAGGATTTATTTTTGTCTGGAAGCAGGTCAAGAGGATGATTTTGCAGGTGGAATCATGCTGCCTTCGCAAGCTGCACAACTTCTACCGTCCATTCTACTCCCTGACGCTTTGCTCTTGGCGGACCCAAGCCTCTACTCATCCCTTGCCGTATCCTTCAACTTTTATGCACGAGGGGCGGTGAACATAACAGTGAGCCACAACCCAGAAGATCCTAGGCAGAGATCTGTGCTGTCAAACATCACATCATTCGACCTGGCATCCTCATTTCGGGCAATTGCAAGTGCATTACCAGTGGCATTTCAAGCTATGGTTGCTGGAGATGAAGGCAGTGATGCAGAGGTTTCAACCACCCTGACAAGTTTCCTCACTTCCGTGATCCCAGCCCTACCTCCACTAACTAAAGCACTACCCAGTGTTAAGACTGGACAATTTCTACAGGCTGGATCAGCTGCACTGATGGCCACCATGATTGCTTACAGTGGCTTTCTGCCTCCCTTGAACAGCCCACGCATTCTTTCTGCACTATCAGCTTCGTTAGAGACTGCTCTGCTAGTAAATCGTGACAAATCATGAGTAGGATGTGCATTAGGGCGCCATGTTATTCTAACAGTGGAAAATTGTGATACTTTCAGGCAATACATCAAGAAAGAAGAGTACTAGCACTTGGGGAAAAATAAGTGGCCGTCCTGGCATTACCTGGTGCCGCTCATGCAGCAACCTGTTTTGACCATACTGATTACAAGAGAAGGCATCTAGCTCCAGTTGAAGAACTCTGGTCCAGCAGAAGCGAGCAACTCCTTGCCAGCATCAATGCCCATCTCCATCATTTCATTGTAGCTGTAAGATCCCGATCTAGATGTTTCAAGGACTACATGGGCAAAAGCAGGGAAGGACAGAAGGGACAAACAATCGTTTAGCGCAACGCCCTAAATTATTGTCCAACGAAGGAGGATGTATGAGTGGGGGAGGAGCAGTGACAGGACGTAAGGCAATGGATCATGAAGTGGCTAAAATACTAAGTAAAAAATAAGGGACAAAAAAGACTTTGCAGTGTGTGAGCGAGAGAGACATACTGGAGGTGGAGAGTGAGAAGAAGTCAAGCCTGAGATGAACTGAAGCAATTGAGCAAGACAAGAGTAAGAAGTGCTCACTTCTCTTGCCGTCGGGCGAGGCAACAAGACCCCGGAAGGAGCAGCCGCCGTTGGCATCACGCTGCGCCAGACCAGCAATGGGCGTGCGGCATGAGCCATCCAGCGTGGTAAGGAAGGCACGCTCACAACACACAGCCAAGCGCGTGTCCTCGTGGTTCAGGGTAGCCAGGTATTCCTCCTGCCAGAAAGAAGATTCACAACATTGCTGTGTTAAGCTATGGCCAGGAAACGTCAAACCACCAACTAGTATACTCCGTTCTCTACTCTATCTTCTCCTTCAAGCTAGCCTTGAAGTCATTTGTTCATTCCCTACGCCAGGCGCTACCCCATCCAACATAGTGAAGACCCCCCATGCTTAGCAAATCAATGCGAGGACATACCATTTTGGTGTCGCCAGTACGGCAGGCGATTCCAATGGCACCCTGAGCGATGGCTGGAAGCATGTCTTCCGTGGAGAGGATGGCGGTCACGTGCTCGGTCATGTTCAACCTCTTCAGACCAGCCAGGGCGAGCAGAGTGGCCTGAACAGCCCCTTCGTTCAGCTTCCGCAGACGAGTTTGCACGTTACCGCGGAAATTCACCACCTGTGAGGGGATCAATCGGGAAGGAAAATAAAAAGAGTTCATTCCAGGGAAGCTGGACTACAACCACCAGACAAATTGCAAGTTTTCTTAAACGTGGTGGCGAGATGAATCAACACAACGCTACGTACCTTCAAGCTGGGATAGCGGTGGAGGATTTGCGACTGTCGGCGGAGGGACGCACTGCCAACAACGCTGCCAGCAGGAAGCTCAGCCAGGGACTTGGCGTTGAGAGAGATGAACGCATCTCGCACATCCTCACGAGGAAGATTGCAAGGGAGGATAGTCCCCTCCGGAAGGTATGTCGGCACATCCTTCATGGAGTGCACGGCAATGTCGACGGCTCCGCCCAAAAGAGCATCATCAACCTCCTTGGTGAACAGACCCTTTCCGCCAATGTCGGCGAGAGGCTGGTTCAGGATCTTATCGCCGGTAGTCTTGATGATAACGATCTCCACAGCACCCTCCTCGGCCAGCTCCGGATAAGCAGCCTTGAGCTTGTCACGGGTCTGATAGGCCTGTGCAAGGGCCAGAGGACTGGCAAAAGAGAAAAAAGCAGCACAAGAAACGTACTCAGGGCTTCGAGGCGAAAACTCGGTGATTATGCTCACTGCATTATGACCAACGTTGATGCAAATGGTTATGAGGGAGAGACAAGCGTCGAAGGGAGAGGCGAGCAAAACATTAATAGAAGAGAGGGTAGATACGGCATTCAACGAGTCTGTATGAAGGTCGTTGACAGAACATTCACAAATCGCTGGCATATGATAATTCACACCTGCCACGGGTTCCAATCCTGACGATGGCTGTCTTCACATCTGTCGAAGCGACGGCCTTGACGACGCTAGACCGTTGAGCCTTTTTCGGGGCGACAGCGGCGACATTTTGCGAAGTCGTGGTCTTCCTCAAGCCCTCGAATTCGGCGGATCGCACAGAGCCAAGGAACGTGGCCTGAGTCTTGACCAATGAGGTGGCCATAGCGTCTAGTTTCTGAATGAATTACAGGTATTCGAGTTTCTAACGGCCACCGATGCTGGCGATCCTTGCAGAACTAGAGCTTCGAAGCTCTAGAGCTGAGATGAAACTGCTCTGGTGGTTCTGGTGCAACAGAATCCTGGAAAAGGGTTCTGGTGCAACTGATAACTTCAGCAGGCAAACCAGCACAAATGTTCTTGGCGGGTATGGAGCGCCTACTGAGGTGTGGGATGGCAATCCGCCTCAGAGAATTGAGCGAATTGCGTGGCGCTGTGGTTGGGTGAGGTGGGGGTCAGAGCGCGCGTTGGGGAACAACGAGGTGTCCAGCTGGCGGCTGCTGGTTGCCCGATGAATTTCAAGGTTTCCACGCTATCCGGGGCCCTATCCGCTGACCAGTTGCGTTGTTGAAGGATGTGTGAGATGGAATGCCGCTAGCCGCTAAAGAGAATCCTCTCAACAACAACTTCCACATTTAGGTTTCATGTAGTTCCTTTACGTAAAACATTATATCTCTTTTTTTGGACACACACACTTGTATATTTGTTTACCCTTGTTATCCCTGAGGTTGACGCCTCGAACTGTGTTGCTGTGATTGCCACGTCGGACAACTCACTACACCTCCACCAGGTCTTTTTCGTTGCAGGACACTCGCAAAGTGGGTGATCTTCCCAACACACTTTCCGCCTAGGTGAGCGTCGAGTCCCTAAGCGAAGTAGAGTTACCACATACCGCGACGTCTGCAGCTCGACTTCGTCCCAGCGCTGTCACAGGGCCAAACATCACTTGCCACAGATCCTTCGTACCGATTTTCCCAAGGAAATTAGAGACGTGTGGTGCCTAACAGCCATCGTAGCCATGGCGTCTTGCACATCGCTACTCGCCGGCACCAGCGTTTCATCGCTTGCGTTGGTGCAGGATGCCAAATTCACCTTTCAACGCAACACCGTGGCTCTTGCAACCCGGCCGTCTGCTTTCCGTCAGAAGTCGACGGCGTCTAGGCTGCAAATCGTCGCGATGGCTGGCAATGCTGGAGGTGTTGAGCCCGACCTGAGCGAGGAGTCACGGGCGCCATGGCTGACTGCTGGCGAGGAGAGTCAGCAGGTGCGCTCCTTAGTACCTCGGAAGTTGTTTATTGCGAAGCAGGGATTAGGGTTACATATGTCTGGTGGAACGGCAGAAGAACAAAGTCATGACGTTAGTTGCAGCCTACAACAGTATCCACAAGTGCTTTACAAAATTACGTTCGCACGTATGAGATTATTATCGCCGGTCCAATTCATGCTGATCTGATTGTGCAGAACTGCTCTATTAGTGCGGAACTGCAGCTTTTAGAGCAGACTTAGCGGGTTTATTCCACCCAAACTTCCTTCACGTATTCGATCTGTACAGCGCCGATCTGACATTGAAATCCGCATTAATGATCCTCGCTTCACATTCCATTTGGTCGCGTTAACTGACAACTATCGTTTCTTTTTTTCCACGTGCAGGATGGGAGCTTCAAGTACGGCAAGGTGGATGGTGCTCATGCTTACCACGAGGGCGATGATGGTACGTCGGTGCGAACACGTGCACAATTAATGGCGCACCACTCAGTGCTGTGTGCAGCAAGACCACGGCGTTATGGATGCAAAATGCAGTACCTTTTTCTGCCTTCAAAGACAGTTCTACAATTCGTTCTCGTTCTCGATAAGGCGTTCAACGTTCTTGCGTTCTCGGTTTTCTCTCTTTGGTTGCCTCACTAGCTCATTAACAACCCTCTCTAGTGTTCGGTTCGCTTCGTTTCCTCTTTCCACTTTACAACTGACTCAAAGATCTCACTTCGCCGTTCGTTACTATTCAATGATTATTCTATGCGCTTCATATCTGTCAGGCGAGTTCTGGAGTAACGTCGACGCCTCCCTTAAGGAGGCAGGTGGCCCTGTTTCAACCGAACAAAGTGCGTCGGGAAGGGGGAAAAGGAGAGGGAAGAGGGAAGAGGGTTGTGTGTGGTGGTTAGGAGAGAGCAAGGGGGGGGGGAGGGAGGGGGAGGGGGGGAAGGGGGGCTGGGTGCGGGGTGTACAACGGATGGTGCATTTGTGGATGTGGCGGAATTGAGGGCCTGGGTTGGTGTATTACTTCTGAGACTCTGAGACGCTGATCTTCGTACTTTTTTCATGTGATTATTTTGTCACTTGCAGAGGGACTTGCGTGGGCGTTTCTTCCAGCTTTCTTCGCCGGTGTTGCATTTGGCCTCCCAGTAAGATGTTTTTTTCTGGACCTAGTGAACTTAACCACTTCAGTCTGGTTACACCACCTTATTCCACTTCCATCATTCCATTTCCTTCTACTGTGCAGTCTGAGTATTACATTGGCTTCACAGTTCTCTTCGTCTTCGCTTATTGTGGGATTGAGATGGGCAAACCGTCAAAGCCTACACATTTCGAGCCTGACATGTACAAGATCAAGTGAGCTAAGGTGCACTAATGGAAATACTGAAGCTCATTATTGCCACTGAATTGTATGCATGTCATCAGTATTTAGACTAGCTTGGTGTAGAACTGATGTACTTGCATAGCAAGTTCCAAATGAATAATAACAATGAACATAGGAGGGTGAATGTAAAAGAATCTGCGGATCAAACTGTAAGTTATGTTGGCAGGACAACTCTTAGAATGAACGTGTCCATTTGGTGGAATTATTAGTACAGTAGATGAAATTTCTCCAAATTTCATTTACCTACACTTCAACTGCTTCAACAACCTCACCGCACATCGTGCTTGCTCAGTCTTGCGGCTCGCTCGGCCTCAGTCTTGCGGAGGTGGTCCACCCAACACCTGAAACCAGCCAATCAGGCATCAATTTTCTGTTCGGGGTCCCCTTTTCCCCTTCTTGAATTTCAGCCCAAAATTCGTACGCAGCAAAGTTAGCACCAAAGTTTTGTGCTGTGTTTGGCAATGTTCCCATCATTTTCCACCCGAGTCGCAAGTTAGCTTGTGTGGAGCGGTCGCATGGGTGACCTGCTAGGCTTTTCCAGACCTAGTTGTAGGCTGCCGAATTAAAATTTCGTCTGTAGGCTAGCTGGCTGCTGTTCAAACCGCACTTGCCAGGGTCACAGGTTTTCCACGCCAGGTTTGATGTGGAACTAATGTTTTTAAAGGGGCAATTCCAACGTGATTCCATTTTCGACCGATTTTCGTCATTTTGGTTCTTATGCGTTGAAAATGAGAGAATTCGGTAGGTTCCAGAATTTTGTTTGTTGCTTATGCTCAGAAAATGACGCTCAACGACATGGACCCTAGCCTGTTTTCTCTTTTTGTCATCTCAGACCGTTTCACAGTGCACCACCAACATCCAGCCACACTGTCCCCTCACCGGTTGATCATGACCGGGGACAACTTCAGCTGCAATCCAATTTAGCCAGCGCGGTTCGCAAATGCGATCCCCAGTGGAAGAAGCTGAGGGGTCGTTATCTGCCCGCGGTCAGAAAAAAATAAACCCCATCTGGATGGCATGCGATTAGGGGAGCCCCAACCCTAAACACGGGGAGCCCCAACCCTAAACACGGGGAGCCCCAACCCTAAACACGGGCAGCCGCGTGGTTCTGCCCGAAAAGATCACATTTGCAAACACGCACTGCGAAGATTGGATCGCAAGTTCGAATTGACCGATCATGACCGAGCTGGAAAGACCTCCACATAAGACATGGACCAATCAAATACAGGTGGGCAGGAGATGGAGGGCCTGAGTGGGCAAATCCATTATCGAAGCGCGTAATAAACCGCGGCGAGTCGACCAACCATGCTGAGGGCCAAAACAGCTGGAACGAGAGCCTTCCCTGATTGGCTTTCGTTCCCCACAACCCACGAAACTAGCCCCCCCTACACCCATTCAATCCCCCCGCATTCCCCACAAACGCAGCGCCCTCCCGTTGCTTCTTCCGCAAGCCCCAAATCAAATGCCACTCCCTCCAGCCCAGCCCCCACCTTCCTCCTCCCCCGCCCCCCTGTCTGTCGGACTCCCTTCCCCGTCACTCCCTCCCATGGTTCCGTGTGATTGCGGGCTGGCTGGCTCTACTCGTGCGTGTCGCAGAATCACTCAAATACTCGCGTCTCCTCTTTCGCAAACTCAGACGTGCGTAGTTTCTTCAGACCAGTGCAGGCAGTCGTTCTTCTTCTTCATTCTCAGTGCACAGCTTCGTTGATAAGTTGTGATCTCCGTGTTGTGACCGTACGGCGTCGATCGTTCCAGGACCTTCACACCCCTACCACATTCTCTTCATCCTCCTTCAGTGGACTCCCACCCATTCAGCTTGCCATTCACTCTCCATCCACTCACGTTACCCTCCACTTACCGTCACAATGACTGCATCGTACTGCACGTGTTCCGGGTGCTCTTACAACGCGAACGCGCCTGGAGAGCTTCCCACGCAGATTCTCGAGGTGAGCTTCCCCGCTTTCCACCTTCAAATGCCTATCATTCGCTCCGTGTCACACATTCTTCCAATCAACTCACTACTCGACAAACGAGAGTCTTTCTGATTTCAGAAGCTGAACTTGCTTTTCCGCCGCATCCTCATTTTCTGCCATTCTTTTGTTGGATTGGTTTCCCGCAGGCCAATGGCTTCCCCTCGGAGCTCCTCCCCGCGCACGAGGTCGCGCATTGCGACGGCGCGATCACTGGGCCCTTCTCGATCGACCTCAAGCGTCCGATCGACGCTGTGATCGACGGCTACAACGTGCACTACGATCAGCACATAAGCGGCACGGTCGAGCACGGCTGGATCCGCCAAGTCACGGGAATTAAAGTGTTCTATATGATGGCGTGGGTTCCGGTCGATACCGCACAGGTCGGCGCGTCTTGCGGCAATCGACTCTACTTCTACGTCGGACGCCTCGTCTACAAGAGCGTTCCGCTCTCCGCGTTTCCCGGATTATGGGAAGGCAATGGCGCGAAGAGCGAGAAGCAGGCTCCCAAGCAGCAGAAGCAGAAGCAGCTCATGCAGGTCGATACTTCGTCAGACGAAGAGGATGAGGGAGACGAGGAGGAGCGATGGGAAGACGCGCCGACGGACGGAAGCGATCAGGAAGGTTCGGACATGAGCGATCAGGAAGCGGGAGAGCTGGAAATAGCGGCGAGTTTTGCGCTGGCGAAGGAGGCAGCGGCAGGAGCTTCTACGAGAAAAAGCTTCTTCCGGTTCAGAGCTTGAAAACATGAGAATCCTCCGATAGTAGCCGTCGCGACTAACCTTTCGTAGCGGTCGTTGGCCTTCAATATGTAAGATACGCGTAAAATATCCAAAAGAAGCGCCGCATCATGAAGCTGGTTTTGCTGCTGTGTCAGAGAGCGCTGTAAGGGAAGCAGCAGCAGCTCCGCTCCTTCGCTTTGACACGCACCAAGCCGTTCTCAAACTTGGTTACCACTAGAGGGGTATTTTTTCGTCCCGTTCTCTGCGAAGCCCGTACTCGCAGCTCATTCTTCGCCTCCTCGTGGCTCCCCACTGAGCCCATCACCGTCCCGTTCCCAACCTTCCGCATCTTTACTCAGCTGTGCACTTTTCTGCTCCACGCTGCCAAACTTTAGGCGTGACGCACACTCTCATGCAGAGGTGGGAGGATTTGGATGGTTGGGTTGGGTGTTGGTGGTGCGAGTTTCCACAAGGAGACGAAGGCATGATCTACGGGGTGACGGCACTCACGAGTCATGGGCACTACAGCCTCCGCTTGCACACTGCCTCAGTTTTGAGAGTCGTGTTTCATTACAAGTAGGTTGGTTACCAGTAACTTTTGCTGTGTGTTACTGGCCACTGACCAGCTTGTATGTATCCACGTGTGCATATGTGGGCTAGATGCCCATGCATCGTCAGTGCCAGGCTTCATTTATTTGTTCGTTCTTTCAGTGTCATGGGTTCCCATCCTAAGCAAGCATAGCCCCCTTTTGACTGAGCATAAATATTCTGGAATCAGGAGCACTAGTTTGTGTTACAGTTGATGGAGAATTTACTGAATTGAATTCCATCAATTGGAGAACTTGATGTGAAGTGCGTGATGCTCCTCTGGGTCAGGGCGTGTATCTTTTGCCCGGACCACTCGGTACGGACGGCATGCGAATAGGGTATCCAGCTCACCGTCTGGACCGTTTGAGCCCGTTATCGAATTGGAGAGCATGCGAGCATTGACGAAAGGTTTCGCACGTCGTCCGGACCGTCGGTCCGGGCAAAAGATACACGCCCTTATATGCACCTGCGAGCCTATGTGTGCTTGATTGGTCACCATCTGCATATTGAAAGCTCCTCAGTTATGGATACATTTGCTGGAAAACATCGTTTCACTTATGAGAAATTCAGCAAAGCTCCATATGTTAATATGCAGAAGTGAGTGGTAGACTGACGTCCACTGAGTTATACATGGAATTTGAGAACCAGTGTATATATGCGGATACTTGTTGGAGATTTACATACTCCCGTGTGCCTCGAGGACTCTAATATCGAGTCGAGAGATTTCTTGGAGTTTGTTAGATTTTATGTTATCGTGGTCGTTGGTCGTTACCACACTTTCCTCCTGTCTTTCAGGGAAAAAAACAAAAGTGAAATGCAGATTGACCGCGAATCAAGAATCCTTCGTATCCAATAACTTTTGGCTCTGATATTCAGGTTTGCCTCATGTGCTGTAACTGACCCCACAGCTTCAAGTCGATGTTAGTGTACCTTAGAAATGTGCGAATACTACGATGTGGTTGTGCAAGTTTGTTTATGAAAAAATAACTTGATGTCACCGGAGGTCCCTTTTCATGGCCCGTCTCGTTCTGGGCAGATTAATGGCAATGCTGCAATAAGATTTCTTAGATACGAGATGACAGCGATCGCTTATTAGATTCAAAAAGCACTGTGAACGTAACATGGATGCGACATGACAGCGATCCCCATTCCTTTGCCTTGTCTTGTTCCCGTCCGACCACCAGGAGTTTTATCTCTTTGGGTTGGAAGGACAAATGACAGCCAAATCTGGAACACTCAAGGTTGGTACAGCTGATGCTCACCCCATGCACGCGAATTTTCCCTTCGCCGGATGGATACGCTGCACCCGAGGTTGTTTCCCCAGCTTCATGCACCTACATTACAAGCGCGTCGCGTGTTTATCAACCAGTAGTAACGAACAGACCGACGTCAAACTAGGTACAGACCGAAGTCAAGCAGAGGAGACTGAAGTCAAACTAGGTTACAGATCTTGTTTATAAGCACATGCGAATCATTTTTAGCTAGCTGCGAATTGCCGAAACTTATGCGAAATGCTCGTGACAGCTTATACGCCCCCTTCGTAAGGCAACCGGGAGGGGCTCAAACAGGCATCAGGTGTACGGCAGTACGCCGAGAAGACTCTGTCGTGAGGCCAGCTTCCATATGTGTTGTTCTCGTCCTTATCTCTACACCTCCCTCCGCACCGCACTTCATCATCCTCATCCACAAGTTCCCCCCCACCTCCAGCCGCGCGCGAATGTACGTACATTCGCCATTCTGTCCGCCACGTCCTCCCCTCTCTTGCCCCCCTCCCGCTCTCACTTCTCTCCATTCCACCCCCCCTCCCCAACCACCAACCCAAACCTCTCGCGGCGACAGGCCCCCCTCCCATACCCGCACCTGCTTCCCCCCCTCCCCCGCGATTCCGCCCCCTGCTTTCCCCTCGCCCCTCCTCGTCTCGCCTCGCATCGCCTCGCCAGTCCTAAAGCCTCCCTCCCTCCCCTCGCCTCGTCTCGCCTCGATCAGCCTCCGCTCGCCTCGCCTCACCTCACATCCCTCCCCAGATCAGAGTCTTCTCCACCGCCACACGTCCCCCTCTCCCTCCGACACCCCATCCCATTCCGTGGCTTGAACTTCTCGTCGTTTCAGCTACCGCCGCTGAACGGTTGGGCTGGTTGGTTCGTGCTGCTCTGCTGTCAATAAAAAGACTTCAAGTCCCACAACTCACTCAACCTTCTTTCTGATCAGCCACTACCTTGTCCAGCTACTAGAAAGCAATCTGTATTCTCTCTCCAGCCTAGCACCTTCAAGACGAACATTTCTCCTTTTACTCACCGTCATCTGCTGCTACTGATTTTTTGTTCCACGAAATGGCTTCTGCATGCGATTCTTCACACGAACTCAGACTGAGAACTGTCGGTCTCCCAGCAGCAACGCCATCCAACCTTGGCGATCATCATGCGACAGAGCGGCTGCGAGCCGTTTCCGTTTGTGCGACAACTTCGTCGACCCCATCGTCGCCGGCGTCGCGTCCAATCTCAGCCGATCGCACCACCTCATCGCACATCCCGCGCTGCGCATCGGCGGATCCGGTCTTCTGCAGGGACGCCAGCGGCTCCATTTCTTACCGCACGGCAGAAAATGGCAGCGCTGCGGATTTGAACTGGCGCGCGAGGAGCGATCGGCGACTCGAGATGTGGAACCGCGCGACCAGATCTACAACCGCGTCCACCACTACTAGAAACCCCGCTATTCCCCGCAATCCTTCAAGAATCGAATCTGTCGGCACGCATTGCTGCTCGCATTGCTCGACTCGGTGCCGCGCCGTTGCGTCAACCAGCCATTGCTCGAGCTCAAGTTCCGATTCCGTGTTCGAATGGGCCGTTCGGGAGCGCATTGCTCTGCGCGCGAGCCGTGCTGCGGCAGTCTCGTGTGTGAAGGCTGCTTCATAAAACCCTATCGCGAATGTAAGGTTTGAGCTCGCCACTTACCTCATATCCGAACGGCGACACCGCCATTTCAGTTGTATACAAGACAGCACTGCGATATTGCGCAGAGCCTCGGCGAGCAATGATCCAGCAGAGAGCGTCGCCACATTGGCGATTGTCGCAGCTCCATTTTTTGACAGTGCAAAATTCATTGCGCTACTACGTGATACGGATGAGTTGAGAAGGATGCGGTTTCTGGGGTTTGGGGACACATTGAGCTCCTTTCCAAGGAGTCAGCTCCTCAGTTTTGGTATTTGTGAAATAAATGTATTAAATTTCTAAGATTATGTACATACAGCCAAACTATGTTCATTAGCACCCAAAAATCGCACATATGATGCCCTAATTAGCACGTTGGCTAGACCTCTGAAAAAGCTTTCGGAAGAAAGATATTGGCTTCTGCACAAACCAGAGCATAGGGAAGGAGGGTAATGACAGGGCGGTGGTGCCGCCCTGTTATGACGCCAGCATTATTAGAGAATGGGAACAGAGAATCAGGCACAAGAATCAGGCTGTGGTCTCAATGTCTCTCCACTTCAGTTACATACCTTAAGGCGCGCTTCGGATTCGAGTGCCACACTCAGGTCTCGTTCCAAATCGGATATGCTTGATCGCACCTGCGTGGAGCCATAGTAAGTTCATAACGAATAAAAATGTTGGCAGCGTGAGCTCACTTTCATGCAAAAACCACACTGCAAAACCGCAACCCTGTGCTTGCAATGCCAGAATCAAGCACATTATGTTTCCGCATGCATAAAAAAATGCTAAAGCTGCACCCACCTGCACCAAAGCCTGAGTAAGCCCGTGAGTCTCCTGCCTGATATCTGCCCTCACAGCAACGGCTTTCCCCTCCTCATCCTCCACCTCTGCCTGCATTTGCTGCTCCTCCCTCTGCAGCTGCTCCCTCTCCCTCTCTGCCCGCTCCCTCTGCTGCTGCAACGCCCGCCCTTGTGACACCAGCTGCTGTGCCTGGCTGGCGAGCAGCTGAAAAGGGTTCACAAACAAGGAGGCCGAAGAGGAGGACATTGGGAGAGATTATTCGGCTAGAATGATGTGGAAAATCGGGGCTAATGAACCAAGGGAGGTTTTTGTGAAGAGCGAAGTGCATCCAGGTGAGAAACAAATGTGCGAGACCAGATGCATCCTGCCAAAATGTTGCTGGGAATTGGGTGGCTTACATGCTTCTGCCATGTCAGCACTGCCACGGTGAAAGATGGCGGCCAGAGGGAGGTGGATGATGCAGCATCTGCCACCGGCTCTGACCAACATGGTTGGTGTATGGGATGTGGGATAGGTAGGGGGATGTGGGATGGGATGGGACAGGGAGATGTGGGATGGGACAGGGGGGTGTGGGATGGGGGGGATGGGATGGCACATGGGATGATGAGACAGGTGATGGATGGAGATGGGATGGGGAGGTGAAAGGGCGATAAGATGGGTGATGGGGTGAGGGATGGGGGATGGAGGATGGGACCAGGGATGGAAACTTAGTCAGGTGCAAGATTCCAGGGTGAGGTTGGGTAGGCCAAAAAGAGGATAACAGAAAGGAAGTTGTAAGGCAAAGTTACCTGAAAGCTTCTCAGGCTGAATCAGGCCAACAAGCAGTTTAACCTCCTCGTCTCCTCTCTCCCCTCCTCCAATGGCTTCCCCCCCTCCCTTCCCAGATCCCCCCAACCCCCACCCCTTGGCTGCTACATAAGCTGCCACCGCCTCATACAGAACATCGTGTGAAGGGCGGTGCGCGAGAGGCACTGCGGTTGCAAGGGATATGAAGGAGTCAGGGCTTATGCTGCTGATGCTGGGAGAGGTGGAGATGGCCTAGAAGGGGGAGTGCAAAAAAAAAATGGAGGAAAAGGAAAACAAAACATAGGAAAATGGTGAAGTAGGTGACAGGAAAATGAGAAAGAGATGAGGATATGGAAAGGGCTGAAAGGAGCATTGTTTAGGCATATGGATAGTGAAGGGGGAGGGATGGGAACAACAGTTGAACCAACAAGCCTTATGGTGCAAATTTGCGTGCTTTAATGCTGAAAGGCGATTGCAAGTATTGAGTGTAGCACCTTCAAGTAGTTATCCACGAGTAATGCCGCCTGGGAGAGGCTGGCAAAACCTGAGCCTTCCACGGCTGCAGCAGGAGAACCAGCAGAGTGAGCGCTTGCAGCAGCACTGCTTGTAGCAGGCGTGCTTGTAGTGCTTGAAGTGAAGATTGCGAGGAGAGCAAGGATCTCAGATGGAGGAAGGGGAAGCAGGTGGTCGACTTGGCACTCGGTGATCCGACAACCAATCATGCTGCCAACGAGGGCAGAGCACAGAGGAGGGCAGTGTAGAGGAGTTTTAAGAGGAAAAACTCAACTGGAGAAAGCAGTAACCATGAAGCAATGACCCTGCTAATGTGACTCCGACCGTCACATACGATCTTGAAATTGGATCAACAAACAGGCGACTCGTTACCTTTGCAAGTGTGACTTCGCAGACTCGCTGGCATCCACTTCAGGGCAGAGGCGCAGCAGTCGCACCAGCAGCTGAATGGACGGCAGCCCCCCAGCCCCCCTTGCAGCGTGCCCTGAAGCGGAGGGCCCTGGTAAGAGTGCAAAGAGCAGCGTGACTGCTGCTTCTAGGGTTGGTTTCCACGTGGAACTGGTCTGGGCGTCTGCTGACGTGGCTGCTGGTGACGTGGACGTGGATGGGACGTCCTGATTGATGGAAGGAGGGGAAAGGCAGTTTAGAAAAGCAGGAAACGTAGTGCTGTTATCTCGTCACCAAGAATGTTCACACAAGCGACCAAGTAAAACAGAAACGAACGAGCCTCAAGGAATGACTGACTGGTGAGAGAATTCATAAGAACAGAATGTGAGTGCAAACGGACCCATTGACAGAAATTGGTGGCAGTGATATTATAGGAACTGACCACAGGGAATGGCAGCCACGTGTTGCAGTAGGCCTCAAGCAGAGCACAGAGATGCAGCGCACTCATGCCCATGGCGCTGATGACCGAGAGCAAAAACGAGTGTGGAAAAACGGATGCATGGGGAAAGAAAAGGGAAGGAAAAAGAGAGGATGAAGTAGACTGAAAATGCAGTAGAGCACAGAGATGCAGCGCACTCATGCCCATGGCGCTGATGACCGAGAGCAAGAAAGATAACCAATAGAAGGACGGATGGGGAGAGAAGCGCGGAAAAAGAGAGGATGAACCAGAGACCTCAACATATATGCACAACAATTGTACCCTGAGGTTGGATGGGTGGGGGAATTGATGGGTTAAGAGTGGTGTGGGGAGAAGAAAGGTGTGGGTGTCTGGTGTTCCCATCACTTTTGGCACAGCTCACCTCACGGCAGCATGCAGTTGGACGAACGTGGGGAGGGTCAGCTGCAGCAGCTGGGGCGACAGCCACAGCGGAACCGAGCCAGTCGAGTCCGTCTTTCCCTCCACTTCACTTGCAACTCCATCAGCAACATTTTCCTTGGTCTTCTCGTCCCTGTGTGCCTTGTCTGTTCCAGCTGCAACAGCAGTGGCAGCAGCATCACCATCTGAGACGACATCGCAAGCGTCATGACCTTTCCCCGCTTCTTTCACCACCAATCGAGCCACCGCGCTCACAGTGCTCTGCAGCAGCCCTGCTGACTCAGCACTCGCCCGAATCGCTGAGCTGGCATCACACGATCGGAGCACGGTGAGAGCAGCCCGGGGGTGAGAGAGATACGAGGTGAGGTGGCGAGACGCGAGGGTAAGCAGGTTACAGTCATAAGGACCACCACACATAGCAGCTCGAGGGTCATCTCTCATATCGAGGTAAATCGCTGCACAGTAAAGAGCTGTGACGTTATCAGGCGTGATTGTAATGGGAACGCCGTAGCAGAAGCATGCGACAAGTTTGAAGGTCTCAATTCCGCCTGGGAGGTTGGAGAGGTCGAGATGGGCTCGCTTCCCATTGGCGGAGCTCTCTGGATCTCCAAAATTCCGCCTGGAGCTGCTCTTCTCCTCCTCCACAGCATGTTTGGAAAAATAGTCAGTCTGAAAAGCACACAGGAAAACAAAATGAAGGGTCAAGAAAAAATGATGGTCAAGCCAAAGATGGACACAACCTACCACTGTTCACTCTGATCACGGTAAGAGGTCTTTCTACCTTGGAATAGAGGGGGAATTTGTGAAGTTGGTAATTGACTGTAGCGCCAAACGTGATGGTGAAGTCGCTGCGCATGCCAGCTGCCTTGAGATACACCTGATCCATGCCTCCATATACGTCCACGTTGAGATCCAATAACGAGGATGAATCCCCTGATGACGGATCCGGTGCTGCAGCACCTGCACCAAGTTCTGGTCCCGAAATCGGAATAGAGAAACTTCCAGATGTCAATGAGGATGGTACTGAAGAGGATGCAGAGGAATTCACGCTGAGAGGAGTTGCGGGTGAATCTGCTGCTCCCGTTAGGAATGGATGTCCATGAGAAGGCGGCGGGGTAGGTGGAGCTTCCGCGTCAATCAGCGATATCAGTTCCCCAGGCTTAGCTTTCATTTCTCCTGATGCTACCCCCTTATCTGCTTCTGCATGAATTGTTGCTGTTGAAGCCGCTGTAGCACCAGACGCTTTCTTTCGCTGCGGTTTACTGGCTTCCATCTCTGCGATACTGCTGGGCTTATCTGAAAAAGGAACTACACCTTCCGACTTGCCAAACTTGTGGCAAACGTCTGCGCGTGAATTCTCCAGCGGGTTTTTTTGCGATTTTCCTTGCAGTGTCTCTCCCCTTCGTCTCACCGGTCCCATGAACCAAACAAGAACTCTCTTTCGGCTTTCCTGGATTCGAGGATGTGGAACCCCTACGCGAGTATCTCCTCCAGGGTGTAAAATGAAAGGCCTTGACGAGGAACGAACTTAGCTGACTCAGCAACTGTGACCAGAAATGGCTGCATGTGTTGGATTGCTCAAAAGACAAGTAGACCCAGGCTAGCAGGTAACAGGCTTCTCCTCCTGTAAAATGTGTAATTGGATGTCGATGATTGTGCATTTTTAAGGTGACCAGCGAGTGCTCGCCGTCCTGAAAAATGTTGAAAAGGGACTTTCGGCTCTGCATCGGAAACGGCGAAAGAACGCTCGTCCGTGATATTGGGACCGTCAGGTGGTAAGGCTGACAGAATAATCTCATGTCATGACCATTTCACCTCGAATACAACACCAGCTCTGTGAACGAAGAAAACCGGATAAAGGAACTCTTGTCAGAACAGGTGAGAACTTCAAGGCTGCACAGAAACTGAAACACTCGCCGAGTAACAACGTCGTTATTCTCAAAGAGCAATGTCTCAAACTGATTGATATTTCCCACGTCGAGATAGCACACTAACGAACCCGTGACAGTAAAACAAGCAGCAGCAGCAGAAATGGGGACGAGGAAATCCCTAAGTTCAAATCCCACAATAATGCCTGCTCACGTGATGGTCGTATTTTCGTTCTGTGGTGGCTCAGGGGTGTCATGCGGTGAATTGTGCGGTTCCAGAATATGTATTACGGTTGAAAACGATGATTGAGAAGGGTTATGAACAAAGTGAACTGAGCCCTTGGGGCGGATTGACATGGCGAATTGTGAAACACGAGGTAGGTCGATGACGTCAGCTTGGCCATATAGTTTTCCGGGCGCGTCAGATGTACCCGCTACTATCACGCCGATACACAATCAGGTCGCCTCCTTCTAGAATGGTAAACTACTGATATGTTCAGAGGGTGAAAAGTCTGGAAATGGTGATTTTCATTCAAGGATTCACTCAATGATACCACGCGATCCTGACCCTAACCCTGTATGTCTCCAAACAACACATGAGACCGTCCTGTGCACAGGCCCACTGTGAATATGCAAAAAATCGCAAGAACAGACCTTATTTTACCGCCTACTCAATCACACACACCATCTCCCCTGCATTCTAAGCACCCTATCATCCGATGTAGTCGAATATCTTTTAGGGTACAGGGGAGGTCCATAACAGGTTTTCCTTCCCCACGGTCCCACCCTGACCAAAACTCGCGTAGTTCGCTTCAAGCATCTGTCGACTCGTCTACAGTGATCTTGGCCACACCTGTTGCCGCGCTTGCAACAGCGCCTGCCAAATCTTCAAAGCTATTCCCCCCTGCAGTTCTCAACTTGAGGCTCCTGTGGGACTGGCTGCGCACAATATCTCTCAGAATGTCCTCCTTGGACTGCTCCTCCTCTGATGGCATGGATGCTGTGCGCTCTGGAGGCTTCTCTCCCTGGTACTCCGCAAATGCTGCAGCCAGTTGATCAACCTGCAGGGAAAGAGAGAATGGGGAAACAGATGGGAGAGAGACGTTGGTGGTTAGAAAAAAAAAATTGAAGTTAGGTGGAACACTGGGCAGTGGGGACGGAATGGTGGGAAACTGGGAGGGGATGCGGTAAGAGAGCAATTACAGGAAGCTAATACAGGAGGGGGGGAGGGGGGGGGAGGGGGGGGAATGGGATGGAGGGCGGAGAGGGAATGAAGAATGGAGGGAAAGGAGACAGCAGCATGAACACAAAAGCAGAGCTCACCTCTCGTCGAGCTCGCGTCCCAGGAATGGCGCGCAAGCGATTGAGTGTTCTCGTGTCAATGTGTGTCAGCACCTGGTCCCTGTAAAAGGGGTAGAGGCGGAAGCAGCGTAAGATGAGAGGGGAAATACGGTGGGGTTGGGGGTTGCGAAAAGAAGTATGGGAGGCAAGCCATTTTGTGCAATTTCCGCTCGGCAAACACATCAGTCCACAAAAGAACACACGAGAACTCCATCAGGTTTTAGGCCTGCTGGCAAGGCGGACAACGACAGCGATCGTGGATAGTGGTTCTCCGGCTCCCTATCAGAGCCGTCACCACCAGCACTGCCACCAGACACTCCCAGTGAAAGCAGGAAACCCCCTTGCATACACACGCACACAAATACAGCAGCACACGACAGCCCCATCTCTTTCCCCCCACCACTTACCGGGTGCTAGGCCGGCTGGCAAGGCGGACGAGGACAGCAATGGGCGCGTAGTGGTTCTCTGCCTGTGCTGCCACCACCAGCGCTGCCACGAGCGCTTCACAGTCCGCCTGATTGGCTGTGAAGGCCTTGGCGCAGTCCTCTGACTCACACGTGTGCAGCACGAAATACACCACGCTCTGATGGGGCGAGTAGGTTAGATAGGGGTGAAGGGAGTGAGCAAGGGGGGTGAGTGTGAGTGAGGGAGAAGCAGCTCGCTAACAGTCACGAAGGTTGGATGTAAAGGCCTAGGCGCGGTTCTCTGATCCAACATGCGTGCAGCAAGAGTGTGAAATAAACCATGCTTGTGAGGCGACTGAGTGTGGGAGGAAAAGTGCGTTGGGAGGGGGGGGGAAGAGGGAAGGGCGTTGAGCGAGTGGGAGGGGGGGGGGAAAGGGAGGGGGGAGTGTGAGTGGGAAGATAAGATCATCACCCTAAGCAGTGTCCATCCGCTTCAACTATCCTCTTTCTCATCAGTGAGCGTATCCTTAATTCAATTCACTTCATCTCGTCCCCTCATTTCTCATCCACTCCCAGTCCCTCCCCATATTCCCCCCCTCTCCCCAATCCCCTCATCTCCCCCCTTCCCCCCTCCCCTCATCTTCCCCCCTTCCACCTCCCCTCATCCTCTTCCCCTCTCCCCTCTCCCCTCTCCCCTCTCCTCACTCCCCAGTCCTCCTCCACTCACCTGGTGTGCCAGGCTGTCAGTGTCATCCACGTGGCCAATCAGGATGTGCGTCAGCTCCAGCTGCTGAGTCAGCAGTCCGGCGTACAGCTGGAGCATGCTGGCCCGCGTGGCGGCGTCGGGGTTGATGGTTGACGTCACCAGCGCCAGGCTGACGTCCTGATGGTTATCCACCAGGTCTGGCGAGCCCAGCACCCTCAGCAGGTGCGCTGCTATCACCGGGCGCAGCTGCAGAAGAAACATGAATGAGAAGCGGAAGTTGTAACAGGACAGGGGAAGAGGACTGGAATGGGTGAAAGGGGGAAGGCGACACTACGTGAGCCACCAGTGCCAGGCTGACGTCCTGGTGGTTATCCACCAGGTCTTGCGAGCCCGACACCCTCAGCAGGTGGGCTGCTACTACCGGGCGCAGCTGGGTGAAGACAGTGCAAGGAAGGGGAGTTGACACAGGACAGGGGCGGAGGACGGGGGGAAGGAGGAAATGTGACACAACGTGAGTCACCCTCAGCAGGTGTGCTGCTACCGCTGGGCGCAGCTGAGGAGGAAAAAAATCCGGAGGGAAGGAGTAAGGAGGGAAAAAAATCGATGGGCAGGAATGAGGGGAGGGGGAAAGGGGATGAGCGGGGATGACGGAACAGGACAGGGGAACGAAGATGGGAATGGGGAGAATGAGACATGACGAGAGTCACTAAGAGCACCCTCCTTGACACCTGAGTATGGAGAACCAGGGAGATCCCTTCCGTACCTCGGGGTTGGAGAGCGCGTATCCCTTGGGTGACAGCCAGAGCGCCATGAGCGCAGCGTCAGCCTGCACGACGGCCTCCTCCACGCCTGACTCCTGCCTGAGCCGCTCCAGTGCGCCCATCACCCCGGGCACGTGCTGCACGATCAGATCCGCTGCGCCGTTGGTGGCCATCACCAGCAGCGCCTTGCACGCCTGCATGTGGATCAGCGACTCGGTTAAGTCGCCCTCGTTGCTGCTGCCCTCGCTGCCGCTACCCCCCTGCTCGGCTGTCCCTTCTGCTGTAGCTGTCTCTCCCCCTGCTGCTTTAGCTGCCTCTGCGTCTGCAGCAGCTGTGCCGTTTGCCAAGGCGGCATGATACGCAGCGGGTTCCGTGGCCTCTGTCTCACGCTCCCCGACCCCATTCTCAGACACATTTCCAGCAGCACCAGCCCCACCAGTGGCGGCAGCTTCATCCCCGCCAGCATCCTTAACACCCGACCCATCAGCGCCCTTCGCAACACCAGCACCGGACGCTTTAACCGGAGTGATAAGATCTATCAGACGCTCCAGCAGGCGCTTGGGAACAGCAGCGGATTGGTTCATGGGCCACGTGGACGGGTGCAGCACCTCGGAGACGGCCCGACAAACCTGGAAGTAGAGCAGGCGATTGGAGACGCGCGGGAGCAGTCAGTAGTGGACAGGTGGACAGGTGAATCAAAACTTAAATCAAAACCTCAGAGACCGCCCGGCAGACCTGGAAGAAGAGCAGGCGGTTGGAGACGCGCGGGAGCAGCAGCACGGGCTGCAGGCACTGGAAGATCTCCTGCGCGCGCGTGCTGCACACGATGGTGCTGCGCGGGTTGTTCATTAGGTCCGCCAGACAGCTCGCCATGGATACCAGCAGCGCCTCGCTCACTGCCGCCCCCGCTGCCGCCTCCGCTGCTCCCCCTGTTCCCCCTGTTTCCCCTCCTGCTGCTGCTGTGTCTGCTACGGCAGCGTCGGCTTGGGCGCTGCTCTTCCGCCTCTTGCTGTCGCTCGCTGCCTTGCACCGCTCTGCGGAGGGAAGGGGAGGAGGGGGGAAAGGGAGGGGAGGGGGAGGGAGAGGGGAGCGGGCGTGGGAGAAGCGGGGAGGGGTAGAAAGGGAAGCAAGAAGAAGGTAAGTTGAGTCGCCTGATAACATATCCCGCAATATCGTACTCAAATATGCAGCGCTTGGAGGAGTAACATGCTGACAGCGACACCACTGGTGTCTCACTGAGCGCTGCACACCACAGCCACATCACGTGGATACCCATCGGTCCACGTGCATCATATGCGGGTTCTTCGTGCAACACAGCCGCGTTAATCACTCAGTTCGCATTACAGCCGCGTTAATCACTCAGCTGGCATAACAGCCGCGTCAATCACTTAGTTAGCATTACAGCCGTGTCAGTCACTTAGTTAGCATTACAGCCGCGTTAATCACTCACTGAGCACACCACAGCACGTGGTGACCCATCTGTCCACGTGCATGAGATGCGGATTCTTCTTGTCGTCCGCTGCCGTCATCGCCAGCAGCTGCGCCGCCGCCTCCGCCAACGCTTGGTCCTCCGCGCCTTCCGCCACCACCAGGCCCATCAGCTGAGGGGGGGGAACAGAGGGGTGGGGTGTGTGTTGGGGGGGGGGGGGGGGAGGGTTGGGATGTGGAGGAGGGGGGGAGAGAGGGGTGGGGTGTTGTGGGGGGTGGTGTTGGAGGCGGAGCGGGACGAGGGAGGATTGGGCGAGGGTGGTGGGGAGATGGAAGGGAGAAGAACGAGATTTTTTTGCGCCTGACCGAAACCGCATGTTGTTATCCTGCTATTACCCGTTTCCTTTACAGTTTCTTCCCAGTTACTATGATTGTGTACTGAAATTCCCAGTTACTCTCTCGACGAGGTTGATAGTTTCGGAACTCGCAGAACCTTATTCACACCTGTTCGGCCGCATCCTTCTGTGATACTGTGATGGAGTCAGGCCCTTGCTCCACTGCTAGTTGAGCCAATGCGTGAGCGATCTGAGAAATGACGCAACAAATATACCAGGCATGAAAGTGTAACTGATCGGGAAACCCAGCCAGCGAAATGAAACACGGACAATGGAGAAAACGAGGAAAAAATGCACCTGGATTACGTAAGAGGCTGTAAGCGGGACTGTAAGATAAAGTTGCGAACCTTAGGATGATCCTTGGCACGAATTAGCGGGTTATCCGTTTGCGTGAATCCCAAACACGCAACGACATCTTCCATGGGTATCGACATTTTCGCACACGTCGCACGCTTCGACAATGACGTTCAAAAGCGGTGCTTGGATATCACGTTGGCGTCAAAATACAGATCCCAATCGCTAATGCTGCATTAAACTAAGCGATTGGCGTCGCTGGTGCTGAGAAATGAACAGTCAGTGACCTAATCAAAGCGTCAAAGGGAGTCCGGAATGCCTGATCCTCTTGTTTTCCAAAATCATCACTTCACTTGAGAAGCAGTAGGCCAAGCAACCGAGACCAGCACCTAACCAAGGATTAAGTCTAGACTAGTCGTTTCTACGACTACATAAAGGCTGAAGAGGCTGACAACGTTCACGACTGACGGACAACTATGTTCTGCGCATTCATGGCCGCCAGACGCCTTACAATTCACATTTATAGAACGTTGCGGTTACTGGTTCTTGATTCCTCATTCCTGAATCGCTGATTCTTGAGTACTGATTTCGCTGCCACGAGACCGAGTGGCTCTCTGCGCGCCTGGAACGGAGGAACGACCCAAAACCAAGGGGAAGCAGAAACACGGGAATTGGACGGGAAAAACTGATGCGAGATGGATGGCTAAAAGTGCGTCATCGGGTGGCGAATCGCAATCGATGGACCAGGTTCGCCAGTTTGAGGGAGAATCGAGAGATTGGACGGACTGTTGCTGGGCAGGTGGCAGATGAGAGGCAGCTGGAAGCAAATGTCGGGCAGATATGGGACATCGCCCAACCAATCACCACCAGAGCTCTCCGTGATGAACATGTGCAGTGCAGTGTTCAAATCAACCAGTCTCGTAAAAATCAGGACAGAAGTGAAGCGGGATGGACGATACGGATGGAGCCACGCAAGCGTTGGTTCTCGGTGTCGCCTGCCGAACATCACACACTCCATCCAAGTTGCTGGTGCAACCAGAAAACGCCAGCTGTCGGCGATTGATATCAGCTGGAGATGGCCTAACCTCGCCTCATCCCACCCCACCTCACTTCAACTCCCACTAGGAGCACAAGACAAGGGGGAATGGTGGAGCAGGACTCAGGTGAGAATGCTCATCCTGCCATCTGCCTAGCTCTTTCGATACCTGGTAATAATTGTGTTACGGTCTGTAGGAGTGTAGAAGCACTGACTACGAATAGGCTTTGCAATGCCTTACAGTGGAAGATGGAATGCCAACTAATGATAAGCCTTGAAATGACCTGTCATGTATCCATTGACTTATCCCCGCAGTCACATTCTACTAGGACGATGCAAACACAGATGCAGCTATCTTGATGGGCAGCGCCACCTTTGGGAACACAAGCCAAACCACATGTCACACATGTTTGAAGTGCAGGTGTCCCACCATGTCTCCGCAATGTCCAGGCTCTAATGATGGGTCCAACAAAACAAACCACCAAATCACACTACTGAAGGCACTATCGTGAACTCCTACACCTCGTGCAATATTTACATGTCTACACTGACAAGGTTTGCACCTCAGACAATCCCTTGTGCCTCTGCGTCCTCTGGCCTCTTGCCTGTGCAGCACCATCAGGTCCACCTGCAATCTTACAACCTTCGCATCGCAGAACCATCCGTTCAGCACCCGGTGCAAAACTCATGCCCATGCCAAACCTCTCCATGGCAGCAGTAGTATCCAAGCCTCTACGATGCACCAGAGGGAGGGATAAACGCAGCGGCAGATAAAGACGGCCCCACCGGAACAGATTCGGGAACGCGACCTTCTACCCTGGGAGGATTCGCAGGAGCTCTCAACCACAATGACCTCAGTCTAACCCATACTGAGGGCAGCTCTCCCCCAGGGCTTGCTGCTGACGTGGACCGCTGCTCAGCTGGAACCCTATCGGCACTCTCTGGCACAGAAATTGCCAAAGGATCCTCTTCTGTTAACCCTCTATCCCCATCCGCCATCACCTGCTGCCCTAACCCCTCCCTGTCGGCTTCCAGTCCCGCTACGCCTCCCCCAGTGCTGCTCTCCCCTTGCTCCCCCCTCTCGCTTTGCTCTCCTCTATATCCCGTTGTGCCTCCTCCCTCTGAATCTCCGTCCTTGACTTCAGCATTCTGACCTATCTCTCGGCGGCATATCGGGCAGGTCGATTTACCTTGAAGCCACGTGTCAATGCAGTCCACGTGGAAAACGTGCCCGCACGGAGGCAGCAGTTTCAGTATGTCCCCGGCAACGTACTCCGCCAAGCATACCGCGCACTCGCGGATTCCCCCTCCTTCCCCCCAGTTTGGTTGTGCCTCTCCGCCCTCCAAATCCCCTCCTCCTTCCTCTCCCGGTTTTCCCCACTTTAAACCGCCATTCGCCACGAATTTACCGCTCTCCGCCGTTTCCGGGGAGAACATGAACGTGGGGAAGGACTTAACGAGCGCTTCTTCCACTCCCCGCGTTCCCGGCCTCCCGCGTGAGGCGCCGCCATTTTCGAGCGCCAGATTCGCCCGGCGACGGCGGGCAAAGGTTCGGTTGCGCACGAAGGATAAACAGAAGGCGAAGGAGACGAGGACGAGGAGGATGGCGGAGATGGTGACGATGATGCTCGTCGATGACGCGTCGAGGCCATAGTTCCGGGTTATGTTGGCAGCAGCGGACGACATTGTCACTGATTATCCAGATGAAATATCGCTAACGGAATGATTCTTATACTAGAACGTCGACAGATAAATCCCGCTGACACCAAGAATTAGCCAGGCGTTAGTCACGCGTCGCCGACAGAAATGGCGAGTTTCAATGAAATCTACGCGGGAACTGCAGAGCGGCGCATACATAATCGCCGCAGTAAGAGTCCAACCAACCAGAAAGCTTGCGCTACGATGGACTGTGAAGTAGGTGGGGAAAAAAAGCCACAGAAGTCCAGGCCATTGTCAAGACCAAATGCCGTAAAAATGGGGCACGCACAACATGGGGGAGTATGTGTGGCTGAAAGGGAGAAGTTGAGCGGCTGGTGTCGTCTGTGTGGCCTGGGTGGGTTGCACAATACCTCTTTGAAACGCAACCCATCGCACAAAAACTGTTTATCTTCGGAAACGAACACTCAGTTTCGTCGTGACTCGTTACTAGCTGGTAGAGCTGCCAGGCCTGGATAGTTTAGTCATAGGGTTGATCTATTGGTTGTAGTTATACACTACACATCTGACGAGTAATCTCCAACTTAATGGGCTTACTTCTAAGTAGCAACCTAATTACAGATTACTACGAGCAACTAGCAACAAGATGTTGCCCACTACGAGCATAAACATTACAGGAGAGACAATCGACCAACTTCCAAATCCGGACGCAGACCCAGCCTTGGAAGTCTTGATATTGCTGCTGCTGCTACTGTTGCGGCATTGTGAGAAGGTGCTCAGGAACCTAAACGTAGCACCCTGGGCACTTTGTATAGCTGCTTCCCAGAAACTGTACATCAGCCACGACCCAGCCTTTGGCATAAATGAAGAGGCTGAATGGCTGCTCCCCTGCACCAACTGCTTGGCGATGCTGTTCGTGCTCTGCAAACACTGCATCGATAGTAAATTACCGCTCAGCTTCTCCCGCTCAGCTTCCTTGAATAAACAAAAATCACCATCTTGTGTTGAGTCAAGGTCTCAAATTCCGATCAGCATCCTGCTCCAAAGGCTCGCCGGAGCCCGCAATTTGGGAAGGGTGAACTAACGGCGTGGATGTGGACGAAATCCGCTCGAGCGAAATTGTGTGGGAAGCTGGGGGACTGCTTTCTTCCACGCTTCTTGACGTTTCGTCAGGACAACTGCCGCTGTCGCACAAGGTTGGGTTGCAGCACTGCCCGTTGCTGTCGCAAGGTTGACCGATGGCGATCGCGACATCTGTTTCCCCGTGTTCGCCGTCCGTCGCGGACTTCGGCCCGCTGTCGACCGATGGCTTGGGTCTAAGATTCGCCCTGCACACTGGGCAAGTTCTCTTCCCTTCCAGCCACATGTCGATGCACGATTCGTGGAACCTGTGACCGCAAACCGGAAGAGATTTGATTTCGTCGCCTGGTTCGTAGTCTTGCAAGCAGATGCAGCACTGACGGAAACTGACACAGTCGCTCTCCTTGGCGTGCTCTGCAGCGAAAACAAAGGTTGGAAAGCTCTTGACCATATCTTTATCCAAGCCGTAAAGTCTCCGCCGCTGGTTATTCCTGTCCTCCTCCTGTTCTGGTTCTGGAGAAAGAAACCACCGAGCGAAAACTAGGCAGAGGAAAAGACCGACGAAGGCAAGAAAGGCGGCGGTGATTGAGGCAATGAAAGCGCCAGGGGGAAGATCTGACGAGCTGGAATTGGAATCAGGAACAGGCGGCGGGGGTGAAATTGTTGCCATGGCGTGTATAACAACCACTAGTATGAGCACAAAAGTTTGGTATTAAGAGCTTGGTCGCGAATCGCGTGACGGCGCAACCTGACTAACACCAACAGGCATTTACATCTGAAACGAAAAACTAGATCGCGTGGAACAAATAACTAAGCCGAGCTTTGCGGAAAGCTAAGAATGCAAACTTAGAAGGCGCTTCGAACGTCGGATATCGCAGACTGCTTGAAGCGGAGAAATCGAAGGCTGAACAGAGAGGAAGGTTGACATAAGCTAGAGAACAGGCGGTGAAGTGCAAACAGAGGAGGAGAGGAACTGGGTATAAACGGAGTGGGAGAGGAGAGGAAGAAAAGGGAAAGAGATTGGTTCTTCTCTGTGCAAGAAACTGGCGATCGAGCTGACCAGGAAGGCAATCCTGAAAAACCTCATCCCGTGCCCAGCAGCGCTTGAGCGGGAGCAGGTGGTCGAAACGTCGAACTCCTCCGCTCCGCGATTGGTTGGTTGCACGCACGCAACTCTCCCCGTTTTGATTCTAACGAAGGTGATGCTGGATAAAATGTTGGGCCGTGGCCCCTGTGATGATAACCTTCAGAAAACATGGCGTTTGACGGGGATGAAGAGGTTTTTTTACCGGGGTTTCTGCAAATAGTTTCCGACTGTGGGTTTGACGTTCCAGTGGTGGCCACGCAATGCATCTGACCTTCAAGGAAAATCACCCGCCGCAAGTTTCTTCTGATAGAACTCACAATCACTGCCATACAATCCAAACCACATCGAATAGGTTTGTTTCGAGCACACCTGATGCCTTCGGTTCGGTTAGGACTCAGCAAGAGGTTGTGGTGAGGTCAGGTCAGGAGGCAAGAGGATTCGCTTTCTGATTGGTGTGGCGTCTGGCGCGGCAGGCCAGCCACACCAGCCGCAATGGTGGCTATTGGCCAATGGTGGTGCGGTTGTGCTCCCCCCCACATGTGAGCCTCTGCAATCAGTAAATGACAACGTACATATCTGTCAAGCAACTGTACCTTGAAAACCGCAATCATTTCCCCAGTCATACTCGTTGTTGGCCATGACCAACAAGGCGGTACAGCTCACACACAATGGAGCATCAAAACATGTAGATACCACCAGATTATTTATTGTGCTTTAGCACCACCACCAGCTATGGTTAGAACATGGTGTTTGCTAGTAGTAGAAAATCAATGCTGGAAGTAAATCAGCCATCCATATTGACAGATTTGCTACTCACATTTACATATGTCTACATTGAGCTCATTACAAATGGTAAATGCAGAAGTTGCTCATTTACTGCAAGATGTTATGCATGAAACCTTCCTGAAGCCTACCTTGGTATGAGCTAGAGAGTTGCAATGCCGCGGACGCAACTGATTCCGACCGTTCGAGTCTTCCGTCACTGATTGGTCCGTCCATCCAGACCCACGCGAACGTCGTGAAGCCTTCGTGCAGCCGATAAGTATTTCGCAGCACACCTCCACCGCAATCGAAAACCGTGACGACGGTCCGACTATCTGTAACCCGTTCGACTCTCACAGCATCCATCGCAGGCAGTATACTGTGCCAAGGGAGCACGGCAGCAGAGCGAGAACAGCGGCAAAGCAGCTAGCAGCTCACACGGCTATGGTTGTGTAGGAGTATGGAGAAGAGGGAGGTCTGACCAGATGGAAGTACAGTGCAGCGTATCGGACGATGACTAGGATCATTACGCACAGTGAGTACGCACGCCCTTATTGCTGATGGCTGCTGCTGGCTGGTTGCTTGCCGAGCCGCGGCCGTGTGCCTCTTGGCATACCGGGGTTTCCCGCGCTGTGGCTGGCTGGGATCGTAGAGGCTGGGCAAAACAGTTGCCACGGCAGCCAAGGGTCAGGTGATGCAATGACGGCTGCCCTTGTACGCGATAGAAGCGGACAGCATCCTACTCGCCAGGAGCATTCGCGAGAACTTCGCACGTTTTTTGGTTTCGAATCATGGAACACCGCCGTACGAATCGGCGTGCACGGGGCTGAGTAACCACCTCCCAACGGCTGATTAACGTGACGAGATGGCGTGCTCGAAGTCAAGGCACTCGTTTCCTCTCCTCGCTCCCATTGGTCGAAAGAAGTCGTGGGAATAATTTCTTCCAAAGCAGACTCAGTCGGCAGCAGCAGCGCAGCAGCACCACCGCAACCGACGGCGCTTCCGTTGGTACTTATTTTCGATGGATCCAATTTCAATGCGACAACGCAGCAAAGCCACAGTTCCCCCCCGCCAACGCAACCAGTTCCAAGTCCCCGTGCCCGTTCCCCTTCTCTCTCCTTCCTTATCACTCCCTCAGTCCGCCTCTCCATCTCCCAAACCCCGACCTCTTTCCTCCTTTGAGCATCCCGGCAACCACGCTGCTTCGCCTGCTCTCACATCTCCTCCTCTTCCTCCTCGCTCTGATCTGACGGTCATCGCAACCCTCTGCCGATGCCACACACATACCTTCTTCTCTCAGTTGCTGGACGACTCAAGATCGGCGAGCATAAATGCTCTGGTCGGTTCTCAGACCTTCCCATCTTCCAGCCAAGCCTGGCGTAGCGACCAGCAGCTCTTCTCTCTCAACTTAACGTTCCAAATTCTGACATCCCAAATTTCCCAAGCGATTCCCAAGACATCCCAAGGCTTTTAACGCAGTACCGCTTTCGAGCCTTTGGTGTCTTCGACCGCATATCACGCCTTTCCCCAGCTGTCCCAGAACAGAGAATAGAACCTGCCCAGACCGAATAAAATCAGCTCCTTCGGGCTTCAATACCATGGGCTGCTTCGGGTTCAGCTCTCGGGACACCTCTCCCGAGCGCGACAACCCTGGCTCACCCCACTCTCCGCAGCCCTCCCGCGTGAGCCGATCAACGGGCGCAGCAGCCGCATGCAAATCCCCGGTGACCACCAAGCCGCGCGGAAGCTTCCTCTCCCGCTCCGAGTCCGCGCCCATGTCCAAGGTGCGCGCGCGCGCTCTTTCCGCCTCAACCAGCCCGCGATCCGCGCCGTCCACTCCGCCAGCGTATCCGTCGAAAGACTCCGCCAGCGCATCTAAAGCCGCTTTTGGCGGGAAGCCGCAGCTTCTGCCAAGTCCTAAGGGGATTTCCTCCCCTGCCGCGTCGACTTGGCAAAGCGGCTTCTAGCAGCTCTAGCGGTGCGTCGCAGAGCCCTCGCAGCCGGAAAAAGGCGTCGTCGGCGACGTCCGGGCGATCGTCCAGCTGGCTCCGCCCTGCCACGTCAGGAGGGTCGAGTTCCACGTGTAGCCCTGCCAGCTCATCCAGCATCGCATCCTCGCCGTCAATCTCGACTGAGATCAACGGAGCAGAGTCAACGGACCGTCAGATCGTGAAGAGTAAAAGTGCAGCGGCAGCAGAACCGATCTGTAAAGTCACACCCGTTACGGTGGACCCCGCTCCAAGTCCCACAAACCAGCTTGAGAAATCAAAGTCGTTACCAGAACTCGCGGATTCGCCAATCATGTCTGGCATGCACCACAACGCTGGCGTCTTGATGCCCATCTGCGAACCCTCCAGCGAATTTTCGCCACGTTCCAACTCGCACAACCAGTTATCGTCAATTCCATGCGAGGTCCGCGATCCGTTACCTGGTTACCAGCCCACACAGGACGGCCTACCCGAACCGACGATGGCCGGCCCGATCCCCTTCACATACGCGCAAGTTGAAGAAATGACGAGAAATTTCGATATTGAGGGATTTCTGGGCGAGGGTGGGTTCGGATCGGTTTTCAAGGGTTACCTCCCCACACGCAGCGGCCGGAAAATCCCAGTTGCTGTGAAAGCGCTTGACACGTGCGGGCATCAGGGGGAGCGGGAATGGCTCACGGAGGTTAGCTTTCTCGGGCTCCTGACACACCCGAATCTGGTCCGTCTAGTTGGGTACTGCGCCGAGGCGGATCAACGGCTGCTAGTGTACGAGTATCTTCCACGCGGTTCGCTCGAGTTTTTGCTTTTCGGGGAGGACGCGCTGGCAAACCCGCTGACGTGGCATCAAAGGCTGAAAATCGCGTTCGGCGCAGCGGCGGGTTTGGCGTATCTGCATGAGGAGGCGGAGCATCAAGTCATCTACCGCGATTTCAAGACATCGAATATTCTATTAACGAATGACCTTGAAGTGAAGCTGTCGGATTTCGGAATGGCGAGGGAAGGGCCTGACGGGGAGAAGACTCACGTGTCAACGCGGGTGGTGGGGACTGTGGGGTATGCGGCGCCCGAGTATGTGCTAACGGGGCACCTTACAACGAAGAGTGACGTGTATGGGTTCGGCGTGGTGCTGCTGGAGCTGATGACGGGAAGGCTGGCGCTGGACAAAGAAAGGTATTTCCAATCCTATTTCCAAGTTTAACAAACCCAAGCAGAGTTCCGCAGTATATGCTTTTGTTTTCCAAATCCTGCTTTTCCAACCTTAAAACTCAAATGTTTGTATAACCTGGTTTCCATTCTTTCAATTCTTTCCTTATCCAGACCACGCGAAGAGCAGAGCCTCGTTGAGTGGGCATCCCCCTTCCTCTCCGCACCCTCCACGTTGTACCGCATAATGGATCCCGCCCTTCGCGGCCGGTACTCCGCCCGCGGCGCACAAATGGTCGCGGCGATCGTCAAAGAGTGCCTGCAGAAGAAAGCCAAGCGCCGCCCAAAAATGTCCGAGGTGGTTGCAGCGCTGCGCCCAGTGCTTGATCTGCATGACATGGCGGGCTTTTGCGCTGAGGATATGCGGGCGGGCTTAGGGGGGCAATTTTCTATTGGGGGGATTGGCAGCACTGCTAATAACGCAACCGGCCCACAGCGTTTTCAACGAAGTGAAAGCGCAGGGACCCTCGAAGAGAGTGCGTTCAAGAGAAGGTCAATCTCCACTTCCCCGAATGCCAACGCCAACATGAACGCTGGCGATGCTGTGCGAGTCGTTGTGACCATGGACAATGACTGTTGCCAAGCACAGCCTTGCGGTACGTCATCTAGAGCCCCAATTAGTAGTAACCAGAAGCCTTGCCTGCCCAGCCCCCGCCAGCCCAGCCCTCGCCGGGCAAGTCCTAAGGGGGTGATTTCTCCAAAAGTGGCGGGTAGCCCCTGGCGTGTGACAAGGCTAAGGAGTCTGCCAGCTGTTTGACGGGGCAATGCAAGGGGAGCTGGCTTACTTTAGTAGTTGAATTTGGGTGGGAGGGGGCAAGGGTGATGTGTAGCTAGGAGGGGGGGTGGGAAAGGGGCTATTTTTTTTGTCGCGAGCCTGTACCGGGCATGCGGTGTTCTGCTGTTGTAATTGTAGTACCTGGTTCTAATTCTGTTCTCAAACATTAATTCATATGAATGAAAGATGACATACGGTATAATGTTGAGGAGCGTGGGGTCTGAAATTTAGAGAAGCACTATAGAAAGTAGTTGTAAAATGTATACACTCGCGGAATATGGTTACCATATAGATCTTTGCCTCGCGATTGGCCTAAAATGGCGGTGACCCTTCAGCTCAAGATAGTTTATCCTCGGTAGAGGCTGCAAAACCTACACAAGACACATATATCACAGCAGCAAAAGGAAGCACGGCAGTGTCAACAGTGTCAGAATCCACCGCCAGTATCCGTCCACACTATCCTTCACGTGCCAAAATGCCATCCAGACCAGACCAGAGCTGGTGCTTCGTTCACGTGCCTATTGAAATCGGGGATGAGGTTACCGCATGAGCCAGATCAGGTCGCGATCTACAGATTTCCAGTTGCTACCGCACTGCACCTACAGATTTCCAGTTTAAGCCCGTTGGAACCCCAAGAAATCGTATCCAAACCCACCCCAAGAAGGATGTGAAGGTTCCAACTCGATCCTCAATCTCAGCGTTATGGAAGATGAGGGAGGGAGGGGTAAGTGAAGATACTGACACCACTGCGTGGAGATTAAGGCGGTGCTGTTTTGGCGCAAGCTTATCAATAGATATTGTCCTCTTGCGACGCGAGCGACCCGCGCTGTCCCAAACGCCATGTGCGCCAGTCCGTTTCCGTGGCGAGAAAATAGGGCTTGCATCCGTCTCGATCCGACGATCAGGAGGAGTTTGATCAAGCATCCGAGCAGATTCGCTTTAGGAACATTCAGAAAGTCTGATCGCGCTTAGTCTGTGAATTTTTTTCCAACCAAATCTCCCTAGCTCGCTGTCGTGTGGCAATACTCACTCCAGGCGCTATCGAATGCCTTGGCCTCAGCGGCCATGGGGAGTCACGTTAGCGCCAAGCTCACCGTCTTTTTGTTCGTCGATGTCATGTGCCGAATGACTCAGCTTAGTCTCGCGCAACCGTCATGGAGATGGGCGACAATCAAAGCGTCAGATCGTAGATTCCAATATCCGTCACGACAAAGCCTCACCGGCATTTTCTCCTTCAGATACTCCATGGTGCATGGATCCCTAGTAGAAACGAACGGTTTCGCTAGGTTCCGAAGACGGCTGTGTCTTGATTTAGGTCAGAAGGAAGAGCGTTATACATGGGTGGGATCCAGCCGTTTAGCAATCTCCTCGTCGACTCGTCTGCCATCGACGCTGACAGCCACAGCCTTCATACCTGTCTCCCTTATTTCTGTCCATGATATTTAATACCTTTGGTTGCAATTTCACAAATCCTCGTATCGGTTAGACCTTAGACTAAGTACATATCGTCTCCCACCTGACACGGCTCTCCGCATATGAGTTTCGTCAGCGCATCATCGTCAAGCCCTTGTTTTTATCCGTGGGAACCGCGAAAGGAAGACGTGGAGCTTATCGCCCTACTCGACGAACGCTCTGGTTGCTGCGGAAGCATGTGCGATCAGAGCAACGCCTTGAGTCCAAACGGCATCACCTCCAAGAATTCGAGCATGATGAGGTTTACCGCTGGTATCAGCAACGAAATCATGTGCTCGTATCCGTTGTCCGAAACGGGCCTCAGGGAAGCTGGTTTGCATCACCATGGGAGGCACGCGGCGCTGCAAGAAGTCGCAATGCGTCACCAAGCTTACGTGGTTCCGCATTCCGATGGAATGTCCCATCATGAGGCAATGTTACATCATGACAACATCGCAGTGTTTGCTGTTCCGCAAAACAACATCGCAAGGCATGGGCTGACCGTGTCACATCGCGGCATGGGACAGAGGCAAGACGATTCTTCAGCAGCATCTGCCAACCTGCTTCCCATGGATCTTCGCACAGACATGTCAGAGCGGGTCATGGTTCTGGACCTGAACGCTCCATGGAGCCAAGAAGGCCACATTCCTCATGACTTGACCCCTGGTCAGGCGAAGGATTCAGCTTTCTGGGAAGATCGAGAAGCAGGGTATGCAGAAGGTAATGCAGAATCTCATTTGCGGAAGGGATCTGGAGTGCTGTCAGCATCCCCAACAGGACCAAGGATACAAGTAATGGAACCAGTGCGCACAGATCGTGCTACAGGAGAGGCATGTCGACCTGGATTCAAAGCGTGGAGACCTTCGCCTTTGAAACAACATCAGCCTGAAGCTGTGGACAAGGAGCAAGTCATGCCATCACCGCCAAAGAACAGTTTGCCTGTGCACACAGCCAAGCCAGCACTGAAGCTAGTGCCTCCTCTCCGAGGAGGAAGGTCCATGGCCCCTAGGAGTGCCTGGGCGAAGCAGCTGCTTCAAGACAATTCTGACGTTGACTGCGTGGTGAAGGGAGGCAGGAAGAGGAGGGTGAAGAGTCTGGGACCTGCTGCTGAGGGTTTGGAGATGAGCTCATCTTCTCAGAAGATTGTGAAGGGGATGGAGAGGAGGAGGAGATTTAAGTCCAACACAGATGTGGGAGTTTCATCAGGTAGCGAGGAGGAGTTGGAGAAATCGAGCTACGCATTGCCAGCTATTCAGCCGAAAGGAGAATTGTTGCATCGCATGGAAGTGAATGCAGGCAGTGAAGAACATCGCGTGGTATCATCTAGATCTCTAGACAGATCACCAGGCGCATCAGGCAATTGTTTCTATGCCATTAGTTTAGAAGACCTACAAATGGCAGCTAAGGGCTTGGCAGATAGAGACACAAACGCTGGTTGCAAGCAAGAGGGGACAACAGATGTACATGCAGAGCGTATGACACAGAAGGGTGTCATAATCTTTGGTACCATGATAGGTTAGGACAGTTTTACTTTGTTGAAATGTCATCATAAAGTAGATTTTGGGAATCAGAAGGGATTCTTGTCCAGTAACATTTCGTCATCCAGGGACGAGCGCTGGCGAAATGCATGCATGCCTCGAGATTTCCGCATCTGTCCCGCCGAGCCCCACATCCCCAACAGCAGCAACCCCCTTCCCAACGTCATGCAGCGAGCATAAATATGCGCTAGTTGGTGGCTGACCAAAAGCCTAGCGGTCCGCGGTCGCCGTACCTGTCAATTAGCAGTCTCCGACATTCATAGTTGCGTCGGAGCTCTAACTTTGCTGAATGAGCCCTTAATTGCGTAATCATTCCTGTCGCCAGGTGCTGCTGCTTCCCTGGGTGGGACTTCACCTTAAACCCTCGGGCGAGATGTTTCTTGCGAATGAGTCACGCTTCGCTCTGACTCCTAGCAGCAGCATCATCCCAACCTTTTTCCAGCAAAAGCGACTTCCTTGTCAGCGGCTTTTTCGGCGCATATCCTGCATTCCATCACTCGTAGTTAATGCTCTACGTAGTGACCACGGAGTTTCCTCCATCCCCGCTCCCGTCGTCCCAGTCCCCGCAATCCTCGGCGCTGCTGTCTCTGCTTCCGAGATTACTCCAGCAGCCGCGCAACCGTCCGCAACCCTTTACCCAGACGGGGAGATTGGCGACATGGATATCAGCGACCAGCACACGGTAACACTAGCGAACATCCGCAGCTCGCTAATTCGGCAAGAAGACAGCATCATATTCTCGCTGATCGAGCGGTCGCAGTTTTGTCGCAATCAACCTGCGTACGACGCGTCAGCTATGCCTGTGCCGGGGTTCGAAGGATCGCTGCTGGAATTCGTCATGCGGGAAACGGAAGTGCTACACGGAAAGGTAACTATTCTGCCTAGAGAATGGATTCGCACACCGCTTGCTTATTCTCCACCCTTGCTCAATATCCCAACATTTCCCCCCAAGGTATGTCCATGTTGCTGCTTTATCACGTTTTCTGCTAAGAGAGCTTTTGTCATAGCTACAGTGTGCATTCGTAAGTTTGCTGACAACGACGCTCTTACCTGTTCCTCTTTGGTCCATCAGTCGGTCCAGTGGCGCTAGGTTCGTTATCGTGAGTTTGACGTAAGACCGGTCTCCATCCGAAACCACCTCCATGTCTCTACCTGCTGTCTGTCCGTTGCCACGTGTCACCAGGTTCGGCGCTACACAAGCCCCACTGAACGGCCGTTCTTCCCTGATGCCATTCCACCTCTTATTCTGCCTCCCTTGAACTACCCCAAGGTACGTCAGATGCATGGCATCCCCCTTGACACCCAATTCCCTGGCATGTCATTCCAGCCTTTTTTCAGATCGACTGAATCGTTAGCGTGCTGTCTACTTATGGATTAAGAACGCAAATTGACCGAAATGCATATGTGCATGAATTTGTGTCTATGCATATGAATTCAGGTGTTACATGATGCAGCGAACACCATAAACATCAACGCCATCATATGGAAGATGTACTTTGACGATCTATTGCCAGAGATTACACGAGATGGCGACGACTTCAACTACGGCTCTGCTGTCACAATGGACGTGCTCTGCCTGCAGGTCAGCTGGTTGCCTCTTTCTTGTCTTTTTGGCAATTCATACCTCATGATGAACTCTCTTCCATGTTCTGTCCCTTCCTCCCTCACATGTTCTTCCTGCTCACCGTCGTTTTGCCATCTGTTATCAGGCTCTCTCGAAGCGAATTCACTTCGGGGCGTTTGTCGCTGAGGCAAAGTTTCAGGAAAATCCAGAAGCATATAGATCCTTAATTGAGAAGCAAGATGCAGAGGGGCTGATGCAGTTGCTCACATTTAATGACGTCGAAGCTGCGGTCCAGCGCCGGGTTGAAAGAAAGGCTGCAACGTTTGGACAGGATATTTTTGAATGTCCAATTGAACCAGCTAAGGGGGTGAATGAAGGAGCAGCTTCTACTCATCAGCCACAAGGAAGCTTCAAAATTCAACCAGAGGTGGTTGCTAGACTATACGGACAATGGATAATGCCATTGACAAAGAAGGTGCAGGTGGAATATCTGCTTAGGCGGCTGGATCCACCTAGCATCTAGATTTTTGCCATGTTTGGGTGAAGCTTTATGTGGCGTGTACTGTCTTTCATCAAGCTGTTTTTTTTATTACACTTGTTCGTAGAACCTGGTAGCGAACCCCCCTTTAGATCCACATCCTCGCTGACAGCCAGCGAACGAAGTTTTGGTTGAGAGATTCCCGCCTTGTGCGTTGGTGGCTAGATGGTGACGTTGGCTTGCCGAATCGCAGCAGGTGTCGTTTGGCACTTCGTTGCTTGGTTGGGTTTCCCAGGTAAGCCCCCTTCAGGTTCGGCTCTGGCTGGGAACAGGTTTGACACGCAGCGCCAGAGAGCTTCGGCAACTGTCACCTAGACTCTGACTCGACTCTCACAATGACGGACGTTGCGACTTTCCGTATGATCAACGGCGAGCCGTCGATCGTATATCCTCCGCTCCCCTCGTTTTCACATCTCTGCTGCCGCCTCCACCACGAGACACACAAGCAGCCTTTCCCCAAGCTCTGGAATCCTGGGTGGATCTATTTGGTTTCAGGAACACTGACTCTGGTTTGGGACTCTGGGAACATTTGTGAAAACCAAGGCGGCTTCGAGTTTTGGCAGACTTCCTCCCCCACGGTTTTCCCCCTAAAAAGTTGCCGCATCGCTCCCCTCGAGGTTTCGTCGTTCAGACCCTGACCTTCAGGGTTCTCCTTGTTTCCCAGTTCCTATGATCAAGTCGCGGCACCCACTCAGCAGCACCCGTTTTCCGTTTCTAGGCCGGCAGTGTGAGCAGCCGTTATGTGCCGGCGACTTCATGGGTCATCAAGTGAATTAGTTCACTAGGCTGACCATCAGTTTCCTAGTGTCCGGACCCTCCTCCCACTATTCGCCAGAAGTACCAGAAGGGCTTAGCTCTTCGTTTGAGCAGGCTTGTTTCGCGCTTCAATGAAGGAATATTGGTTCCGAATGGGCCTGCGAGTGGTTTGATATGCTCAGGGCTTCAATATAGACGACACTCGTTTTAAGACGCGTTCCGATGCGACGGAGAACACTCCGTCACCCACACTCGTCTTTCCAATCAAGGATGTCTTTACTACCTAGATACGTTATTGGCTTTCAACGGCGTATTTCCATCTCTAATCGTCAGATTATTCTTTGCTGAGCTGGCAACACCACCATGAGCGAAGACGAGCCCAGAGGGGCTCCCCAATCTCCCACGTCAGCAATGAAACGTGCGTCGCATTCGTCAACGTCCGCCTCTGCCACGTGGCACGCATCCGCGAACCGTCACTGCGCGCCGAGCTCTTTTGACACAGAATCCGCAGAGCCCGTCAAGTGTAGCGGCGTCCCCGAGCGGCAACGGTCTAGAAACCGCGTGCGCCGAAACAGCAGCCTAAACACATCGGATCCGCATTCGACGCCCGCTAAGAAGGGTACCGTGGGTGTTACGGTGCGATGGGTGTACCTTCCCTTCGTTCTCGCTGCAGTCATATGCTTCAGTATAGGATTATACGTTCACAGCTCAGCAACGAGTCAAAAGTTAGAATCCGCAGTATTAGACGGACAGTTACAAATTGATTTCGGACAAAGACAGCTCCAGAGCCGGGAGGTGATAGTAAAAGATGTGACTGTAGCGAAGAGGGACTCGACGCTCGTTAAGAAGTTACTGAAGCTGAAGGAAGGGTTGATGGAGAGGCGGGCGGCGCAGATGCAAGGCGCGCTGCGATGGCTCACGGAGGTGTCGGCCAACCTGAGACCACCGCTGCTGGCGCTTGTAACGGATCGCCTTGAAAGGGACGCGGAAAACGCGTATCTCTTCACGCTTGGTTCGGGCCTTAAATCACTGGGATACGCTATCGAGGTGGGTTGGGTGCTGTTAAAATGATGTCGTATGAGACGCGATTCCGGTTGGAGGTGGAATCTGGTGCGGCTAAGTGCGAGAAAAAACACAGGGAAACTGAGATTGCTACTTCTTTGCTTTTGGCTTGGGTGTACGAATCTCTGGGATAGCAACTGAGGTGGGGTTAGGTGACGTTTCGTCGATGTAAAAAACGCAATTCAGGTGGATGAGACACCTCATGTGGTCGGTTGCGGAGGCGCGCTCAATGATCCATTTCCCAGTTCCTTACCCCCCGTGCTCTGCGCTCTTGTTCTCCTTTTCCCATCCCTCCTCACTCCGCGCTTGTCTGCAGTTGATCGCGCAGGAAGGAGGGCCCATGGCGGACGCGTGGAAGGGCCTGGCCGTGCGTGTGACTATAACGGGGAGGCACAACACGAGCCTGTATCACATCGACTGGCTGGAGTAAGTCCTCTCGCTCCGCTCATGACTGTCCCCCACACACCGTTCGAGTCTGTTCCTCCCCTCCCTGTGATTCTCTTTGTCTCATGGGTCTCCATTTCCGAAACCCTGTGTAGTCAACGTTGCGATCCAGTAGTCCCATGTCTAATCACCCCTCCCCTGCATCAGGCATCGCACCATCACTCCTCTCACTCGCGTTCCTGCTATCGTCTCCCGCACCTCTCTCCCGCACACCTCTCCCGCACCTCTCTCCCGCACCTCTCTCCCGCGCTTCCTCTCTCCCGCACCTCTCTCCCGCACCTCCTCTCTCCCGCACCCCTCTCCCGCACCTCCTCTCTCCCGCACTTCTCTCCCGCACCTCTCTCCCTCACCTCTCTTCTGCCTTGCGATTCCGCCTTGCTGTCGCCCGTGGGACTTCCTTCCCGTGTGCAGCTACGAGGGAGTGTTGGCGAACTCGTTAGAAGCCACTCCGTTTATTGCAAAGTTGGCGCAAGAGCCGTTCACTGAAGTCCCGCTGGTGTGGATCGTGCACGAGGCTGACGTGGCGGACAGGCTGGCAGTGTACGAGTCCAGTCAGCATCTGCAAGGGCTGAGGCAGCAGTGGGTAGAGCTGTTCGCTCGGCCTGACGCCGTTGTGTTCCCCTGCATGGCACTCAAAGAGCGATACCAATCCCTGAACACTGGAAACTTCCTGGTAATTCCCGGCTCGCCCACGTGGACGTACGCTGCGACCCGATTTGCTGCGTCGCACTCGCCAGAGTCGGAGCGGGCGGCGCGTCAGATCCCGCCTGACACGTTCACTGTAGCAGTGGCGGGAAACCAGAGGGTGTACCAGGGAAAGTGGCGGGAAAGAGCCATGGCCATGCATGCCGTTCAATCATTGGTGCAGCCGCCTGGCATGGGGTGGGGGTCTATTTGGGGATGGATGGGAGGGGACGTAGGGGGAAAGGGAGGAGGGGATGGAGGGGGAGGAGGGGAAGGGGGGAGTGGAGGAAGGGGAGGTGGGGTAGGAGGGGAAGGAGGAAAGGAGAAGAGAGGAGGGGGAAGAGGGAGAGGAGGGGAAGGTAACCAAAAGGAGCGAGAGGGGGTTTCTGCTGTGGAGCGAGCGCACGTGGTGTTTATGGGTAACTGGAACAGCTCAGGGTCACAGTCGCAGCTGGCGGTGCTTAAAGTGGTAGCGAAGCATCTGCTTATAGCGAATCTGACGTGGGGCGTGGGGGAGGCGGAAGGGGAGGAGGGGATGGGCGTGCTTTTGGCGAGTGATGTGGTGGTGTGGAGCTCGGTTGAGGAGGAGAGGGAGGTGAATCCGCTGCTGGTGAAAGCGCTGGCTCTGGGGAAGGTGATAGTGGTGCCAAAACTGATCAAGATCCGAGCAGAGGTGAGCGGGTGGGCAGGTGGGTGCGAGTGGTGGTTAGGTGGGTGGTGGGTGGGTGCGTGGGTGGGTGCGTGGGTGGGTGCGTGGGTGGGTGCGTGGGTGGGTGGGTGTTTGGTGGTGTGTCTCGAGGAGTGTTGATTGATAGCGATGTGGTGGTGTGGAGTTCGGTTGAGGAGGAGAGAGAGGTGAATCCGCTGCTGGTGAAAGCGCTGGCGCTGGGGAAGGTGATTGTGGTGCCGAAACTGATCAAGATCCGAGCAGAGGTGAGCGGGAGGGTGTGTGGGCGGTTGCGTGGGTGGGGTGTAGGTGGGTGTGATGTTGTGATGGCGCCAAAGCTGAGCAGGTTGATTGGATGGGTGGTTAGGTGAGTGCTGGGTGGTGGGGGCTGCCTCATAAGGGCTCTCCCAAGCATCTTTTAGTTAAGCAACAGTGCGACACTGCTTGTTCTGAGTGTGCCAGTCCCTTTGCCCCCTCTAACCCCGCCCTCCCTCCCCTCACAGCTGACCAATGGCGTGCACGCTCTTTTCTACGACCCCGGGAAGGAACCTTCCATGAAGCAGGCGCTCCTTAAAGCCGCGTCGCTCTCGCAGTCTGACGCGCTTGCCATGTCAGCGTCGGGCCGCGAGCTCTCATTGGCCCTGGGCGCGCGCAGCGTAGTTAAGGAGGTAGCGAGGCTGCTTGAACGGGTTATGGAAGGGGGCGTGGGGATTAGGAGCCCCAGGCCGGCTGATTGGCTGTGGTGGGATAAGAAGCAGGCGTGGATGTGGGGCGAAGAGGGCGGATGGGGGTGGGGAGAGGGAGGGGACACGGTAGGAAACGGAGGAACGGGAGGGATACGGGGAGGAGGAGAAACAGAGGGAGAGGGAGAAGGGAGGGGAGAGGGAGGACCAGGGACGAGAGGTGGGGGAACGAAGAGGGGTGGGGAGGCGGAAGAGGGGGAGGAGGAAGGGGAGGAGCGAGTGGATGTAGGTGGGGGTGTGGAGGAAGGGGAGGCTGTTGTTGTGACGGGAAGGGAGAGTGGGGTTATTGGAGGGAGGAAGGTGATATTACGGGAGGGTGACTATAAGGGGCGAAGGATGGGGTTGAAGGAGGGAGGCAAGGAAAGGGAGGGCGGTAAGGAGGGCGCGGTGGGGATGGGAGGGGAAGAGAGAAGGGATGTGGCAAGGAGTGAGGGGGGTGGTGGGAGTGTGAGGAGCGAGGGAGGGAGTGAGGGAGGGAGTGAGGGAGGGAGTGAGAGGAGGAGGAGTGTGGTTCTGCAGATGGAGGAGGAGTGGGAGGAGTTGAAGAGAAGGGAAGCGGCGTTGCTGATGGGAGATAAAACGAGGGATAGCATGCTCATGGCTGAGATGGATGGTGCTGAGGAGGCGGTGGGAGGTGGGCTAGCAGGTGAAACAGGAGGAGCAGGAGTTGGAGCAGGCGCAACAGTAGGAGTAGCAGCGGGGGGAGCAGCAAGATTAGGTGGGAGATTAGGGGGGGAAGGGGTGTTGGTAACAGAGGCTGACAGAAATGGTGGTGCTGTTGGCGTGGTTGATGGGGTGGGAGGGTCTGGTGCGGTTCTGAGTGGTAGCAAGTCAAGTGCAGCGGTTTCAGGTGGTTCGGTCTCAGATGCAGCGGTTTCAGGTGCTGCAGCTGCAGCTGCTGCCACTGCTACTTTGGGGGGGGAGAAGGGCAGCGCAGGAGAGAGGAGCAGCAGGAGGAGGAGGAGCAGCAGCAGCAGCAGCAGCAGCAGCAGGAGTGCCTGAGCTCAAAGCGCCTGAGGAGCAATTGGAAGCTGATATTGTAAGTCTGTGGTTCAGGTACTCTCCCAGATGACTCGTGGAAGACTCGTTGTTCTGAGAAGGCCTCAGAACAGATCTTCTCGCAGCAGCAGCTTAGCTTGGGTCGAAAAACGTGCATGGAGTGTAATCCGTTTTCGTGAAGAGTCGTTGTCGTGGGAAGGGGTGAAGGTGGGGGTGAAACAATCAACATCCAAATCACTCCTCTCTACCTCCCTTTCCATCCTCCCCCACCCCAGTTGTGGGATCACAGGGAGCACGAGTCACTTTCACGGGAGGAGATGAAGGTGGGGGTGAAGCGAGCAGCGTGCAGATCACAGTCCTCTACCTCCTTTCCCTCTTTCACTATGCCTGCTATGGGACCGCAGGGAGCACGAGTCGAGGAGGTGAAGGTGCGGGTGAAGCGGGCAAGCACCCTGCGCCTCACAGTGACCCCCTTTGTCCCCCTTGTCCTGTTACTTGCAGCTGTGGGATCGCAGGGAACATGAATCCCTGTCGTGGGAGGAGGTGAAGGTGGGGGTGAAGCGGGCGGAGAGGAGTGGGCTGCACGAGAGGGACGACGGCGACCTGGAGCGATCAGGCCAGCCCATCTGCATCTACGAGCCGTACATTGGCAATGGATCCTGGCCGTTCATTCATGACAAGGACACCCTGTACCGTGGAGTTAGCCTGGTGAGTGTGCACTGTGCACTGTGCAAGCAGCCTGCCTCGGATTCTATGTAGTCTTTATTTAAGGACGCGTCACAATTGCAACACCGGGCGGGGACCGAACACCGAAAATGTGTGCAGCGCGTATGAAAATCGGTTTCCAATCTGCATGAGCAGTGTTAGGCTGCTTCTCCGAGCCAAGTGAGACACGACTGTACAGCCAGTTTCGAGAGCAGGTGCCGTGCTTCGCTGGCGCGTCGTTCACTTTCGCCTGGGTTGTGACGACGCGGTCGCACAGCGCAGATGCCGCCCAACGACAGTTTGCGATGTCGCTCTGTTACCACTTCGAGAATGGCCGACAGTATGCGACGGCGATCGATCGTGGCTGGCACCGGTGGCGCGATTTCGTTTCCCACGCTGCCAATCGCACGATCGATGTGGCATTTCGAGCGGGGCAATCTCGTCAAGCTGCAAGTTCACGATATTCGCGTCATGGTTGTGCGAAATCGGGATACACATTATTCGCCAACTGGCGAATTCACTGTAGATGGTGAGCACCGATCCTGGCCGTTCATTCATGACAAGGACACCCTGTACCGTGGAGTTAGCTTGGTGAGTGCAACTGGGGTAAGTGGTCCTGGGTCAACTTTTGAGGCAACTTTTGGTCCTTTATCCCCCATTCTCTCATCCCCCGTTCTCTCATCCCCCAATATGACTCATGGGCCGCATGTGAACGTGTGGGCGCGCCTCCCCATGCTCTCCTCCCCCTATTACCGCGACGTGCTCTGCGACTTTGCAGCCATGCTGGCTATTAACTACCGCATAGACAGAGTCCATAGGAACCCCTGGATAGGCTTCCAGCCGTGGCGGGTTCAGCTCCCCATGCTCTCCTCCCCACACCACCGTTCCCTCTACTCACCTTCCCCATCCTTTCCCCCTCTCCCCTGCCCCGTCCCCTCTCGTTCCCCACCCCTTCAGTCGCGCTCCTCTCGCCGCCCCAACCTGTATGACGACGTGAACGCGTGGGCGCGGCTCCCCATGCTCTCCTCGCCCTACTACCGCGACGTGCTCTGCGACTTTGCAGCCATGCTGGCGATTAACTACCGCATAGACAGAGTCCACAGGAACCCCTGGATTGGCTTCCAGCCGTGGCGGGTCCGAGCAGAGAATGTGGGGTTGAGTGGTGCTGCGGAAAAGGCGCTGGTTGGGACTATAGAGAGGGGGACTGTAGCGGATGCGGTAGTGTACTGGGTGAGTACTGTAGACCAGGTGGAGATTCATAGGGATCCGCGGAGTGCGGCGCTGGGGGAGGATGGGGAGAAGGTGGGGGGGGGGGGGGAGGCGGGGGAGGCGGAGGGGGAGGTGCGCTAGAGCATGGGGGAAAGGGGGATGGGGGAGGGGAGACAGGGGGAGGAGCAGGGAAGTTGCGTGTTGGGGGGTTGGAGGAGCAAACAGGGGATGACTTTTGGACGACTTGTGACATGATGAACCGCGGTAACTGCAGGTGAGAGACTGTGACATGGATGTTATGAATGTTGCATGAACGGAAATGCAGGTGAGAGATGGAGTTATGCATGCCCACGTGTGACACGATGAACCGCGCGGTAACTGCAGATGAGGAGGGTCGATTGCAGGAGGTAACTGCAGATGAGGAGGGTCGATTGCAGGAGGTAACTGCAGATGAGGAGGGTCGATTGCAGGAGGTAACTGCAGATGAGGAGGGTCGATTGCAGGAGGTAACTGCAGATGAGGAGGGTCGATTGCAGGAGGTAACTGCAGATGAGGAGGGTCGATTGCATAGCTTTGAAGAAAATTTTGACTTGTGATGTGGTGTGATGTGACACCACAAACCGCACACCTTGCACAACACAACACACCCACACCACACCAGGCCATCCCACTCCACCTCATCCACCTTCTCGTTTCCTCCTCCTTCTCATTTTTTTCCCTGTCCTTCGTTTCCTTCTCCCTCTCGCCCATGCAGAGCTGCGTTTCTCGAGGCCATGAGGCTGGTATATAGTCTCCCGTCCAACTGGCCTGCCGCCCATGCCCACGGGAGGAGGCACCTGGTCTTCCATGCACGCATGGGCCATGCCCGCTCACAACTTCGTGGAGTTCATGCTCTTTGCACGGTGAGGGAGGGGGGTGTTGGGAAGATCTGTTATGGCATGTTGGCAAATTAACTGGAGAGTGAGAGAGTGAAGGGTTTGGCATGCATGCATGGGCCATGCCGTGGGGGAGGAGAGTGGGGGGAGGAGAGTGGGGGGAGGAGAGTGGGGGGAGGAGAGTGGGGGGAGGAGAGTGGGGGGAGGAGAGTGGGGGGAGGAGAGTGGGGGGGGATACCGACAGCATGTTCGTTGACGCAGCCCACGTTTTGGTGACATTTGAGCGAACTGTAAGCCCTCCTCCTGTGCCTTGCCCCCGACCTCCCTCCCCTCTATACCCCAACCAGCATGTTCGTTGATGCTCTGGATGTCAAGTTCTACCAGAGACACGCGGCACACGGTGAGGTGACATGTGAGCCTTAACCGTGAACCTCCTCCTTCCATCCTCTGCCCCCACCTCTCGTCCCGTGCGTCCTCCCTCCTCCCAACCAGCATGTTCGTTGATGCCCTGGATGTCAAGTTCTACCAGAGACATGCGGCCCATGGCACATGCCCGCTTGCTCAGAGCCATGCAGAGGTGAGTTTATAGAGTGTGGCTTGAAAAGGGTGGGAAGGGGGTATGATTGCAACAGGAGCGGCACTGCTACTGCCGATTTCTTGACAGGCTCGTAAACGTGTGGGCGTATCTCAGCAGAAAGAGAATGCTGCTTCTGAACTCCCACACTGGCACTAGAGCAACACCCTGTTCCCACCCATTCTAACTCCCAGCACCTACTCCCCTCCCTCTTGAGTCGACTCAAAAGTCACCTACTCCCCTCCCTCTTGAGTCGACTCAGAAGTCACCTACTCCCCTCCCTCTCCAATCCCTCTCACACCCAACAGGAGCGGCACTGCTACTGCCGACTGCTTGACCGACTAGTGAACGTGTGGGCGTACCACAGCAGAAAGCGGATGCTGCTTCTGAACCCCCACACGGGCTCCCTTAAAGAGCGACACCCTGTCCTGACGCGCTCTAAATCCCAGCACCTACTCCCTCCCCTCCCTCCCCAAATCTATGTCACCCCAAACAGGAGCGGCACTGCTACTGCCGATTGCTTGACAGGCTGGTCAATGTGTGGGCGTACCACAGCAGAAAGAGGATGCTGCTTCTGAACCCGCACACTGGCTCCCTTAAAGAGCAACACCCTGTCCCCACGCGCTCTAAGTCCCGCTCCCGTCGCGCCTGGTTCCAATGGTTCTCCCGCCCGGTACTTAAAGCCATGGATGAGGAGCGGGCAGAAGAGACGGACGACCCCGCCCACGCGATCAACGGGCGGCGGTGGCTTTGGCCGCATCTGGGGGAGGTGCAGTGGCAAGGGTCGATAGAGAGGGATAGGATGTTTAGACTGTGGCAGAAGGGACAGAAGGAGAGGAAGAAGAAAGAGAGATTAGCGAGAATGAGAGTGAGATACAAGCAGGAGGCGTTGGGAGGGCCGGTAGTGAAGAAATTGGGGGAGGTTGGGGGCGTGGCGGGGTTGGGGAGGAATGGGAGTGTTGTGGATGGTGGTGGGGAGGAGGGGAAGAGAGGAAGTGGTGATGGCGGCGGCGTTGACAGGAGTGGTGGTGTAAGCAAGAAGAGTGGCAGCAGCAGTAGCAGTGACACTTCTCAGGAGGAGGTCAAAGAGGGCAGTGACACAAGGTGACTAGAGAACATCGAAACATGGGACAACGGAAGACCGGTGGTTACTGTACCAGCTACTGTAGATCTACTAAACTAATCTTACATTAGCATTACATTGCCGTGGCCAGCAACACACGCTACATAAATTCTTGATGGTGTGTGGGTTGTGCGCAGGTCATTCAATTGTTAGTTTAGGTTAGGATGTCAATAATTCTAAAGAGTGCATGTACCCTTACGCAAAACATTTATATTTCGACTGATTTGCGTCACTGTCACTGGGATGTAGCGTATTGAACTCTAAGCTGCAAGCAGCTATTGCTAAAAAAGAGACCAACAAGAAAAGCGTGGATCTGACTGAATGGAACAAATCGGTGAATCGAGACTACATGTGGAAGAATCGAAATGTGGCGGAGTGAAACAGGTCGTGGGGCTGAATCCTTGTGACAACAAAATAAGAGCTCTTGAATGATCCAATTTTGATACTTCCATCCAAGTTCAAAGGCCGAGGCGGCAGATAGGATTCGATTTGATCAGCTTCAAGTCAACCTGGAGCGGTGAGGAGTGGTGATGGGGGGTGATGAGAAGGGTCATAAGGGCAGTGGTGAAGGAGTGGTGAAGGGGAGGAAGCGTGAACAAGTGAACGAGGGGCAGGCATAAGTGGTAAATCAAACAGGCACAAGGCGAATGAGAGGCAAGCACAAGAAGCGAGAAAGTGTACAACCTCTACAGTATCAAGCTTAGCCGGAACGCTGAAATTGATGCTATCAAGTGCTTTAAGGTGGTTTGAATATTCATCGTCTTCCCCCCCTACTCTCCCGCTCTCACCTTATGGCCGAAGAGATCACGGATGTTGTCAATGTGATATAGGATCATAGTGGGTCTGTTTGTAACGGGGAAAAGCAACAGGTGAAAGAAGAACGGGGAGAGGGAGGGAAAGCGGGAGGTAAGGGGGTGGACAATGATTAGAAAGGGTGCAATCAACACTGCGGGAGTTTTATGCTTGAAACTTGCAAGTTTTATTTGTTTTGCGGGAGTAATACTCAACACTGCTGGCCTTGCAACGATGGGTGGTGATGGAGTGGGTCGGGGGGGTGGAGGGGAGAGAGCGTGACGGAGAGATGTTACGTCCCTGTTTAGTGCGTTTTCTAGTGCTTCAGAGCGGTTGAATGCCTCTAGTCCTCACCGTTCAAGGGACAGCCCCCAGGCAATGACAGAGACGTCGTCGGGCAATCCCATTGGCTGCAGCATTTCAGGGCGGAACATGCCGCTGTTGCCCACCTCCACCCACTTCTTCAGCTGCTCGTGATAGCTGATGCGGTGGTGGTAGGGGGGGATCGCAGGAACAGAACGCATGAATGCTCAGCTGTGAAAGAAGAGAAGAAGCATCTCAGGGTGGAACAAGGAGCTGTTGCCCACCTCCACCCACTTCTTCAGCTGCTCGTGGACGGAAGGAGGAGGGAAAAGAAAACATAAGCAGATGAAACGGTAAGGAGGATGAAGGCCTTAAGACACCTGAAATCGCCTGCAATTTCACCTGAGAACCACCCTTGTCCCCCTTGGCACCCACCCTGGGAAACCACCTGACGACCACCCTAAAACTCACCTGAAGATTTCCATGCTGGGTTCGGTGTAAGGGTTGTAGGCGGGCTTGAAACGCAGGCGAGTGATGCCTGGTGGGGGTTGAGAAGGCAGGATGGGGAGGGAGTGGGGGGAAGCGGGAGAGGGTGGCTTTTGGTAAACTCAAGGTTAGGGGAATTGTATGCGGGCTTGAAACGCAGGCGAGTGATGCCTGATGGGGGTTGAAACGGCAGGAGGCAGAGGGAGAACGGGGGGAGGAGAGGAGAGGAGAGGGTGGCTTTGAAACAACTCAAAGAACGGGCGAAGCCACATAGGAGGTTGTCTGCAGGCTTAAAACGCAGGCGAGTGATGCCTTATGAAGGTCAGTGAGGAGATAGAGGAGTGGTGAAGGAGTGGGGGGTGAAGGCAGTCAGAATCAATACATGCAACGTGGCAGCATGTGAAACGGTCAGCACGTGGAGGAGGGAAAGGTGAGTGAAACGGAAAGAGAAGAGGAAGGTGAATTGCTAGAGCGGTTTCAGACTGGGAAGGAGATGGAGAGGCAAAGGCACTCTGGAGAGGCAAAGGCACTCTGGAGAGGCAATGGCACTCTGGGGAGGCAATGGTCGCAATGCGGGGAGGCAATAACGGCAATGTGGAAAGCAGAGGCGGCAATGTGGAGAGGCAAAGGCGGCAATGTGGAGAGGCAAAGGCGGCAATGTGGAGAGGCAAAGGAGGCAATGTGGAGAGGCAAAGGAGACTTACCGAGTCTGGCAAAGAACTGGTTAAGCACGCCTATAAGGTCGCCCAGTGTGGTGCCCCGATCGCAGATCACACCTGCCAGAGGAGAGGGGAGTAGAGCAGTGGCAGATGGGGGAGGGAAGAGAGAGAAGAGAGTGTGGAGCAGTGCCTGACACCACCACACCACCGTTTCAAACCATTCCCACCGTTCTTCACCGTTTTAAGATAACAAAAAACTCCCCCACCGTATCCCAGCCCCCAACTTCCATCCACCTCACCTTCTATCTGCTGCGATTCAGCAAGATGAGTGCGGTCCACAGCCTCATTCCGGAACACCCGGTCGATGGAAAAGTACTTGCGCGGCTGAAACCCCTCCTGCGCCAGCCAGCTGCTACAGCCCTGCTCCCCTTTACCGAATCCCCAGCCAACTCACCTTCGATCTGGTGGAACTCTGCCAGGTGTGTCCTGTCCACGGCCTCATTCCGGAACACCCGGTCAATCGAGAAGTACTTGCGTGGCTGAAACCCCTCCTGCGCCAGCTGGTACAGCATGCGAGACGACACCGCCGTGGTGTGTGTGCGCAGCAGGTTCTTCTCTGCTTCAGCCCGCTTCCAGTCGTACCCATAGCCAGTGGAGCCATGGCCCCCCGTTTCATGCATCGTCTTAACTCGCTGCAGGTAGTCCTCTGGGAGCTCCTTTGTGGCCGCAGGGGCTGCAGGTGCGCAGATGGGGGATGGGGGACAGAGGGATGGAGAAGTGGAGGTTGATGGGGAGGGAGGGAGGGAGTCCTCCTGCGCCAGCTGGTACAGCATGCGCGACGACACGACACCGCCGTGGTGTGTGTGCGCAGCAGGTTCTTCTCTGCTTCAGCTCGCTTCCAGTCGTACCCGTAAGCAGCTGTTCCGTGCCTACCCGTCTCATGAATCGTCTTCACGCGCTGCAGGTAGTCCTCTGGAAGCTGCTTGGTGGCCGCAGGGGCTGCAGAGAACAGGGTTCAGGAGAACGGTGAAAGGAACGACCGAGACAAGTGACGAGGGCAAGCTGTCGTGAATGTCCATCGCGTGGTGCTGCTGCGGCTGGAAGAGAGCATCAGAGCCACCAAGTTACCAAGCTGGTAGGTCAATCTTTGAGTCCTAACAAGGTGACATATCATTGAGAAACAAAGTACTGTACCTGTGAGGAAGAAGGTATCGTGTGAGTCCCTCGCGGGGTGCTGCTGCGGCTGGAAGAGAGCATCGAAGTTCCAGAAGCTGCTCTCCACGAAGTTGTTGGTCGGCATTTCTTGGAAGCTAGTGAAGGGAGGAAGAGGAGGAAGGTGAAAAATGGGAGGAATGGGAGGAATGGATGGGAGAAAGGGAAAAGGGAGCATTGAGGCCTTGGACTGAAATGTGGAGAAGAAATAAGAGTTGAAGCTTTACAGAACAAGGAGCAGAGGTTGGTAGACGAGTGAAAGGAGGTAGTTCGTACTCACCCCATTTCGAGTAAGATCTTTGCGGAACTGGGCATGGACCTTTTGAATTGAGAGGGAAGAGGTGAGATGGAAAGTTGAGCTCACCCCATCTCCAGGAAGATCTTGCGAAACTGGGCGCGCACTTTCAGCAGCGGGTGCAGGTGGCCTCCCTCTGTGGGCAGACCTAGGGCGTTGAAGTTGTAGGGCTTGAATTCCTCTGTCTTCCATGCACCGCTGGGGAGAGGGGAGAGGAGAGACATACAGAAGAAGGGAGTAGAGAAGAGAGTACTTTCAGCAGCGGGTGCAGGTGGCCTCCTTCTGTGGGCAGACCCAATGCATTGAAGTTGTACGGCTTGAACTCCTCCGCCTTCCATGCGCCACTGGGGAGGTGAGAGGGGCGTGGAAAAGGGCAACAGAGGGGGGAACAGAGGGAACAGAGTGCCTCCTGGTAACAAAGATGAGATAGTAGTGCACTGGGTGCAGGTGGGGTGGCCTCCTTCTGTGGGCAGACCCAGCGCATTGAAATTGTAGGGTCTCTGTCTACATGCTCCACTAAGAACGGTGAGGGAAAAGCATTACCACTCTGCACCGCTCTGTAGTGTTCTGTTACTGCCCTGCACCGCTCTGCACCGCAGTACACACCTCTGGATCATCTCTCTGGTGAGGTCCGTGGCAGCCTTCTTCCTTTCCAGGGCGAATTTTGGCCCCTTGCCCAGCGCGAACGTGCTGCCTTTCCAGTCAACTCAGCAGAGCATCACCGCTATGCACCTTACCACTCTGCACCGCACTACACACCTCTGGATCATGTCCCTGGTGAGGTCCGTGGCAGCCTTCTTCTTTTCCAGGGCAAATTTGCCCCCCTTGCCCAGCGCGTATGTGCGCCACACGCTGGGAGAAACCAGCTTGCGCTTCTTGTGTAGATAGTCCAGGTCGGGGGCAGGGAGGGTCTGGGGGGACGGGGCGGGGGGAGTGGGGGACGAGGGAAAAATGGAGAAAGGAGAGAGAAATGCCCTTGCCCAGTGCGTATGTGCGCCACACGCTGGGCGACACCAGCTTGCGCTTCTTGTGTAGATAGTCCAGATCGGGGGCAGGGAGGGTCTGGGGGGGAGGGGAGCAATTGGGGGGAAGGGAAGGGGATGGGGGAAGGGAAGGGGAAGGGGGAAGAGGGCTTGTTCAGCTCTGCGCCACACGCTGGGAGAAACTAGCTTGCGCTTCTTGTGTAGATAGTCCAGGTCGGGCGCGGGGAGGGTCTGGAGGGTAAGGGGGAGAGAAGAGTGTGCGGAAAGGCAGGGGCCTTGGGGGATTTGTTCTGCTTTCTGCCACACGCTGGACGCAATGAGCTTGCGCTTCTTGTGCCAATAAGGGGGGAAATGGGGAAAAGGGGCGGAAGGCCGGAAGGAAAGGGACCAGGGGAAGCGGAAGTGGTGAGGGCACAACGGAGGGAGATGGGGCGGGGTGGGATGGGGTGGGGTGGTGTGGTTTGGGATGGGGTGGGGGAGGAGGGAGGTGGGAGAGGACAGGATCCAGAAACAACTGGCAGCCGAATTGTAACAAACAGGTGGTAACCACACTGTGCACCCGTCAACCCAGGCGATGTGGTCTGTGAATCAAACGAGCGAAAACCACATTGGATCGACCCCTAATGTTTCAGATGCAATTGGCTTACAACAAATCCTCTCGTTAGCCTCCTCTCACCCCACACCTCCCTCTCCCCCTCCCTTTTCCCATCCCTCCTCCTCCCCTCCCCTTCCCAACCCCCCTTCTCCCATTCAGCTTCCCCTTCCCCCACCCGCTCCCCCCTCTCACCTCTCCTTTGCTCAGGCTCGTCAGCAGCCGCTGCACTTTATCCTCGATGGTAGCCACTTTCCGTTGAACCGAGGGACCTCCTTCGCCCTTGCTTATAGCGAGCCACTTATTCGCCATAGCCTGCTTCATGCCGATATCCGCCGCCGCGCCGAGGGATTTCTTGAGCGCGTCCAATGGGATGCCGCCATCTGGCACCGCGTTGAACACCTGCGCTTCGGGCGAGCCCGTGTCGAGATACCCCTTGGCCTCATCTGTGAGCGTCCATGATTGGTGCTCGATCTCCTGTTATAAGAACGGAGGTTACAGGGAACAGTCTTACATTTGAGTTTGAGAGCGAATCAAGATTCCGGCTAAAGCTAACCAGTGACGTTAAAGCTAACCAGCGACATACTTAGTAAAGTCGATCGGCCGAGCAATTACTAGCAGATTCGACGAACCTCGGCCACGATCATCTCGTACGCGAGAAGGCTCTTAATGGTTCCGACGAGCGCGGCGTGATCCACGCCGGCACTCGCGGCCCATTCGCCGGAGTCTTTAATCTCCCCCGCCTCGTTCAGCGCCCGCAGGAGCCGCTCTTCGATGCCTTCCATCGCGCAGCGGCGAGAATGCAGCTATAACGGAGGATGATTAAAGCGGACGGTCACTCTGATCCAGAGGAGCTCTAACCTAGTGTGAGCTGAAGCCTCGATAATGTAGCCTCGTAAATAAGAGGCGAAGAGGAAGAGACAGGAGAAACTCCAAAGGCAATATCGATGTTGGGGGAAGTGGCTTTGTTCTTATAACGAAGAGCGATTTGTGAGACTGATCAGATCCTGTGAATTCGCCAGCCCGTGCGGTTTTCATTAGAAACGCGTATTGTTTTCCCGAGTTTACTGTAGTAAGCCTACACTATTAGAAGAGAGCTTGAGACGCTGAACAGAAATTCCAGAATCCTAGGGAACATCGTGGGTACAGCTTGTTTTGTTCAGTTACAGCGTTTGAATACGATGCTGTGCAATTTAAAGCGATTTCCATTCCCATTGTCCCTCCCTCCTGTCTTTGATTGCTTCGAATTCACGTCTCCATTTCTTCTGCCTCCCCAAATTCTGCCATTCTTCTCTCCTCGCACCAGTATCACCAACACCCGTCCACCACATTCGGCATCCTCTTCCAATCTGTCGCGCGAGTCGCACGACTTAGCATCCTTGTCCATTCGGGATGGCGACTCTCGCCTGTCCCTCCTCTCTGCGAAGCTCGCGAAATCTGCGATGCCATTCAGCAAGCCACGATCGCTGCCTGAATGCCGTCACCGCGATTCACGGAAATCTCGCCATCCCGAACGCGACTTGCGCGCGCGCGAGCGGTGGCGCCCAATCTTCCAGCATTTGCTTCCAGGCCAGGGCTTGCGTTGAGGAATGCTTCCCCTCCACGCAACGATCGGCGTTGTTAGCTTCCCCTCATAAATCTACAAGCTTCAGAAATTCGTCGATTACAGGAAACGGGCTGCAGGGATTCGGCTCGTCTCCCCCCTTTATCCAGGGCCGGAATCAAATCACGCAGGGACTTCATACGCGTTATAGACACGGCCCCGGTCTCCATACAAGAGCGTTCTTTTGGAAACAGGGGTCGGAGGGGGAGACGAATAAAGCGGATGCTGCGGAAAAGGCAGCGGAGGAAGCGGAGAAGGAGAGAGAAGCGAAGGCGAAGGAGGAGGAGGAGAGGCGGAATAAGCTGGTCATCAGCATTTTCGTTGACCTGCTGGGGTGCGGTCTCTGCTCAGTCCTCTGATCCTCGTCCTGTATTCTTCCCCTCACATTATATCTCTTCTGGATAGCGCGCCCCTTTCCTCAATCCTCACCGGCTACCGCACCTCGTGTTTTCTCCCCCAATCACCACTCACCACTCCCGGCTCTCAGGTTGTTAGCACGCCCCTTTCCTCAATCCTCACCGGCTTTCTCTCAGCAAGATCGAGCGCACCTCTTGCTTTTTCCCGCAATCACCACTCACCACTCACGGCTCCCAGGTTGTTGGCGAGCCGTCACATTGTCCTTAGATGCATTTGAATTTTGGGTCACACTCGTAAGTCACCCACACCCACACCGCCACCTCTTGTTTTCTTCCCCCACTCACCACTCACGGCTCTCAGGTTGTTGGCCAGTCGCCACATTGCCCCCTTGGACTGCATCTGACTCTTGAGTTGACTCAAAAGTCAACCCCACCCACGTCCGCCTCTTGTTTTCTTTCCCCACTCACCACTCACCAATCACGACCCATCATCACCACTCACCACTGACGACCCATCATCGCCACTCACCAATCACGACCCATCATCACCACACACCACTCACAACTCCCAGGTTGTTGGCCAGTCGCCACATTGTCCCTCTGGACTACATCTGGATTCCTGCATCGGCCTTCATCATTCAGGTGCTTTCAACAGTCATTCAGGTGCTTTCAACAGTCATTCAGATGCTTTCAACAGGCACTCAGATGGTTCGAGCAATCGCATAAGGAGGTGAAGACTCAGAGCTCATACACTTTCACTTCACCCGCACTCAAATCTCCACTCTCTCCCTGCCCCTGCACCACAGGTTGCACCACAGGTTGCACCACACGCCTTGTTTGTCCCCACAAGCCCTCACTCCTTCACCCGCCCTCTCCTTGCTCTCGTGCTCCTCCTGCACCCCTCCCTCGTTCCCTGTTTCCCTTCCTCTCCTGTCCCTCCTGTTCTCCACCCCCCCACTCGCCAGAGGATGCACCGAGCGCCGCTGCTCTCCAGTGTGGGCTTCGTGGAGCAGGCAATACCGTGCATAGAGTTCATCCTTGTCTTCCTGGCCCCTTCTCCCTTTGCCCCCCTGCTCGCTGCTCCCTGCTCCCCTACCTTCCTGCACACTGCCCACTGCCCTCTGCCCACTGCTCCCCTGCCCATTGCACCACTCACCAGAGAATGTACCGAGCGCCGCTGCTCTCCAGTGTGGGGTTTGTGGAGCAGGCCATACCGGGTATAGAGTTCATCCCCACCGCTACACTTGGTGAGTGTGAGGAGCATTAGTACTACATGGGCATGCTTGGTGGGCATTGGCGTAACGCACAGCTCACTGCTCTCTAGTGTGGGCTTCATGGAGCAGGCCATACCAGGCATAGAGTTCATCCCCACCGCCACACTTGGTGAGTCAGGGCATGGCATGGCATGGCATGGCATAAACTACATCTTCACGGACACACTTGGTGAGCCAGGGCATGGCATGGCATGGCATGAACTACATCCCCACGGCCACACTTGGTGAGTCACGGCATGGCATGGCATGGCATGGCATGGCATGGTATGGCATAAACTACGTATTCACGGTCACACTTGGTGAGTCACGAGCATGACATGCAGAATGGCGCACGGTGCAGAGCAGAGCACATTAACCACACTCCACTCATCACTTGAACCGCCACCTCTGTGTCATGATGCCACCCTTTGTGATCTGATCCATCTCACTTCCTCCTCACCTTTTCCCCTTGCCCTCACAGGCTGGATGCTAGAGACGTACCCAGAGCTGCGGAAGCTCACTCGAGCCCTGCCACTTATGGGCAGACTCAGCAGCCGGTTTAAAAAGGGATAGATACAGTGTGTATAGTTATAGGTTCGTATAAGACTGGTTACCATATCTGGTTGCTGAATGTTGTACCGATGTTGTGAAGAATGTCGTACCAAATACGGTGCCAATGGAGAAATTGCCGAAATGTTGTACTAGCCATGACTGCGTTCAGGGAACCATAAATAAAATATACTAGCATGGATACATTGGCACTCAGCCAATGCATGAAGGTCCTGGCTTGTGACGTTTGCCATTGTTTGCCATAACCAATGCTGTCCACACCCAACGTGTACACCTGCATGAGAAATTATTACTGGTATTGACACCAGATAGAACCAACTCGGTGTAAGGAAAATTCCTTTTCCTTACTCCGCGTCCCTTCTCAGCGCGTACACCACTGTTCCCACCACCAGCATCCAATAGTACACCGTTACCACTTGCGACACTCGCCTCGATACTGTTTCCCGCCACTGTTCACGCCGCGACCCAACCTCACGGCTCGGTTGGTAACCCGCGCTCCGGACCTCCGCCTCGGCATTTCCCACCCTCGGCGCTAGGCCCGTCGCGCACCCCAATTTCCACACATTACCGTTACCACTGTAGTTTCGCTATATATTCTTCGCTCATGCCTTCGCTCATTGTACTCTTGCTTCGATAGTGCAATCCTCGTTCGCTCACTCCATTGCACTCGTAACACTTGGTATCAGAGCCTACGATCTCTTCTCGGACCGCACCCACACCTTCGCTTTCCCACTATCTCAATTTTTTGGAGGGGGTAGACGTCTCTCAGCGACACAGCACCGCCGCTCGTAGTGCTCTCTCGTAAGCACGCACGGCCACGACAGAGGCTCTCGCTGAGCTTGCCCGACACCCCCGCCATGGCTGAATTTAATCTCGCAACTCTGACGCAGGAGCAACTCGACCGTCTGGTGCGCCAAGTTGAAGAATCGGCGCTCGAAATCGCGACACTCACGGCGGAACGAGACTCCGCGCGTCAGCAAGCTACGGCGAGCGCCCCAGCACCACAAAATGTACCTGCACAATCGGAGGAGCCGATCGTCATTTCGTCCGGCACACCAACACAGAACGACAGCGTGGGACAGCGCTCGGGAGCAGCCAGTGATAACGTCGCCCGGCCAATGCCTGGCATGGGAAGGAACCGGGCCGCGCCAAGCTCTCAGGAGCCTCGCGAAGCCCGTCGGCACGTGGAGTTTGCGGCAACAAGTGGCGATCAAGCAATCATGGCGCCAATGCCACTCAAGCCGCAGCGTCCGCCCTGTTTCGACCCGAGCCAGCGTGGAGGTCCGACGGTTCAATCGTGGATCTTCACGATGAACGTCTTCTTCGACGCGAATTACGTCGAGTCGGACGCAGCGAAGATTCGATACGCTGTTTCGCTGCTGAGGGGCCCCGCCATGGACTGGTGGCGAGTCAACTTGACGTCGCCACGCGCCTACGAGCCACCGTCGCAAGAGGAAGGGCCCGCGGGTCCAGCCGTCACCTGGAGTTCGTTCTGCGAAACCGCCCAGTACAGCACGTGGGATGCGTGGTGCGTAGGGCTTCGGGCGCGCTTCGAGCCGATCGCGGCTTCTATTTCGGCGCGTCAGAAACTGCGCACTTGGCGGCAACTCGGATCGGTTCAAGACTACACGAGCGGTTTTCTCGCATTATGCGAGCAGGTCGGCTACATGCACGAAGCGGAGCGGGTGGACCGTTACGTCGGAGGGCTGAAGCCGGATATCTCGCACGAAATCATGCTACGCGGGCTCTCGAACTTCAACGAGATTCTCGCGCTCGCCGAGATTATCGACATTTTGCGCCGTCCGAGACCGGGGTCCTACTACGGACATCGTCCTCGGGGACCGATCGAGCACGCCACCGTACACGCCGTTGCGACGAATGCAGCTGCCGCGCCGTTTAAGGGGCGCTGCTTTGCTTGCAATAGGCCGGGCCATCGCAAGAATGAATGTCCAGAGGAGCTGAGGCGCCGCGGAGCAGAGCAGGGGAGCGAGTCTCAGAGACAGGGAAACGCCAGCAGTCAGTAGAAATTGGGCCAACTACTGACGAGACTGCCTGCTCGCCCAACCGCACCGACCCTCACCGAGTCACAGTACCGATTCACGCCATCGATCGGGCTCGGATGAATAAGGAGGGTACAGCGACGTATCGCCCAATACTGATCTACGGGAAAATACAGGGAGCAGCAGTGAAGATTTTTATCGACGGAGGAGCAAGCCATAGTTTAGTTAATACCGCAACCGCACGGAAACTGCAACTGACACTCAGCCGATGCTTACCTGAGATAGATGCACGCTTAGTTGACGGCACGCCGCTGGCCATACGGGAAAAGGTGGAAAGAGTAAAAGTTCGCTTCGGGGGAAACTTCGGGTTTACACAGGAAATGCTCGCGACCACGCTGGATGGGCACGATATTTTACTGGGACGTGATTGGCTGCGACGGTATAACCCGCGAATTGACTGGACGACAGGCAGCTGCACTGTGCGAAGTAGTGGTAACTGGGTCGAACTACCACGCTGGCAGTCGCCTGAGTCTTCAACGGTCCACGTCAACGCCATCACGATGAAACGGGCAGTCGCCGCTGGAGCTGACGTGTACGCAGTAGACATCGCAGTAGCAGGAGAAGCAGAGCAGCCGAGCGATTTTCAGAAACTGCTGGCAGCGGTACCGCCCGAACTACAGGAGCTGTTGAAACGGTACCCAGGGATTTTTCCCGACGACTTACCGGAGGGACTGCCACCTCAGCGAGCTCACGATCATAGGATAGAATTAGAACCGGGGGCACAGCCAACCGTACAGCGTCAGTTCAGACTGACACAGCCCGAGCTCGACGAACTGAGGAAGCAGTTAGATTACTTGTTAGAGAAGCAGTTTATCCGACCGAGTTCGTCACCATTCGCCGCACCGATACTGTTCACACCGAAAAAAGACGGAGGGTTTCGCATGTGCATCGATTACCGAGCGCTCAACCGGGTTACAGTTTAGTCACGATATCCCATCCCCCGTGCCGACGAACTGATCGACCAGCTGCGAACAGCACGGGCTTTTTCGAAAATAGATCTCCAGGGAGGTTACCATCAGATTCGGGTCGAACCGTCGGACTGCGCCAAGACAACTTTGAAGACTAGGTACGGGTCATACAAGTACACCGTGATGCCCTTCGGGCTGACCAACGCACCTGCGACATTTCAGATGACCATGAACGAGGCGTTTCGACCGCTTTTAGATAAATGCGTGATAGTTTACCTCGACGACATCCTCGTCTACAGCCGCGATAAACAGCAGCACTTAGCGGACCTCGAAGCAGTATTTAAGATTTTAGAGGAGCATAGGTTATTGACTAAGGGTTCTAAGTGCGAGTTCTTTCGGGATAGGCTCGAATTTTTGGGGCACGTTATTTCGGAGGCTGGGGTTGCGATTGACCCACGGAAACTGGACACGGTCAGGGCCTGGCACCCCCCGACGAACATCACGGAGCTGCAGAGTTTTTTGGGGTTTGTTAATTACGTCCGTCGGTTCGTCCCCGACATGGCTCGCTTAACAGCCCCACTGACGGATTTACTGCGGAAGGGGGTCGCTTTTACGTGGGGGGAGAAAGAGCATGCTGCCTTCTCTGCCCTGAAAACTGTTCTCTGTTCACCGCCCGTCCTGCGCATTGCCGACCCACACCGCCCATTCGAAGTAGTTACAGACGCCAGTGACATCGCCATCGGAGCCGTACTGCTACAGGATTTCGGCAACGGCCTACAGCCTATCGCATACGAGTCACGAAAACTGCATCCGCCCGAGAAGAATTACCCGATACACGACCGCGAAATGCTTGCAATCGTGCACGCGTTCAAAGTGTGGCGCTGTTACCTGACCGGCGCAGACGTGACAGTACGGACAGACCACAAATCACTACAGTACCTTCGCGCACAGCCCCACCTCAACCCACGACAGATTCGCTGGCTCGATTTCCTCGAGTCAAACTTCCACTACACAGTCACCTACAAAAAGGGAGCATCCAACATAGCTGACGCACTGACCCGCCCCACTGCCCACATCCACGCAATCCTACTCGCCCAGACCAGCCCACTTTTAACAGGACTATTCACCCACGGGTATCAAACGGACCCTTTCTTCACAGGAGGAAAAAACTGGGTACACTCTGCTACGGGAGTTACTGTTACAGGAGGCACACGACGGAGTTACCTCGGGACATTTTGGGGTAGAAAAAACACGGCAGCAGCTGCAGCGATATTATTACTGGCCCGAGATGTTGACCGACGTACAGCGACACGTGGCATCGTGTCCCACTTGCCAGCTCATGAAGTCGTCACGGAAGCGGCCGGCAGGACAGTTGCAGCCGATACCGCCCCCAGAGCGTGCGTGGCAGCAGGTGACGATGGACTTCGTCACGGGGTTACCGGCCGGAGCGAGTGGGAACGACGCGATCATGGTCGTCGTCGATCGACTGACGAAAATGGCGCACTTCGCAGCCTGCAAGAAATCGATCACAGCCGAAGAAACAGCCCGCCTCTTCATCGCCACCGTCGTACGACTGCACGGGATACCAGCAGCAATCATCAGCGACCGCGACACGAAATTCACCAGCAACTTCTGGCGGAACCTGTGGCAGCAGTTTGGCACGCGACTACAGTTTAGCTCGTTGTACCACCCCGAAACTGACGGACAGACAGAACGGACCAATCAGACCATGGAGCAACTCATCCGAGCCACGTGTGATGACCCGACCACCTGGGAACAGCAACTGCCACTCATCGAATTCGCATACAACAATTCGCCCTCCGCCACAACACAACAGTCCCCATTTTACCTGAACTACGGACAAGACCCCACAGTACCCATGACCCCGAATCCCGACAACCCAGTCCCACGCGCACAACAGTTCGCAGAAATATTACAGGCAGCCCGGACCCGAGCAGCAGAAGCCATAAAAAAATCAAACGTCATCGCTAAGCGTAACGCCGACCGACACCGCCGCCCCGTCACTTACCAACCC